GTGTATATTTGTAATCTTCAATAAAAAAATAATTTAATATTTAGAAAAATAAATTATAGATCACATCTCGTAAACTATTTGAGGTCTCTTATGGAAACCCACAGGGCAAGGAGGGGAAGAGTATGTGGGAATCGACGGTGGAAGGGAGAATGGAAGAATCGCAACAAAGGAGAATGACTTGTAGAGTCTCAAGCTGGAGTGGACCTCAATTTTACCACGGAATGGCATGGGAATAGTTGAGTGGAGTCAGTCCCCCCTCAGCTGCTCTGTACCTTTGCAACAAAACAAAATCACCATTAATGGTCATAAAGTAGGAATAACTATGGTTGTGGGTATAGTGTCGGACGTGAAATGTCATGACAAGGGCAGGGGAGAAACTACAGTGGTTAGACAGTGAGCATATGCTGTGGGGAATGTGCATGGCACCGTGACCCGCCATGTCCGTAGCCTTCTTCCTTCCGAGGTAAAGGAGATCAACAAAGACTCATCATTCACCCATATCTAGCAGGCAAAATCGAAGTAGCAAAGGATTTTTTTTTTTTGTTTTGATTAATTTTCTTTCGTCTATATTAAACTATGCACAAAACATTCTTACACGAATTAGAATATAAAACTTAGCATAATCAGAAAAAATGGTTAAATGATTTAGGACGGGAAAAGAAAGATAATAATTTAATGATAATAAAAAAAGATAACTATCGAATGACCTCTCATGAAGATGATATGATTGATATATAAAGTGAGAAAAGAATTTAATTCATTGATTCAAATATATTGCATAACAACATGCAAGTGAGAATAGAACTCACTGATTTCTTTCCTTTTTTTTTTTATGTGGACAACGTAATCATTTTATAATTTAAACTCTCACATAAGGTGATTTATTGATTTATTGACAAGAGATGAGAAATGCTCAATTCATCGATTCATAGTTAAATTTGTTTGATATTGAATTAACTTTAAGGTACACAGATTGTATTATTGCACAGCAGTTGTCGACATGCATGCAAACGTGATGTCGGTAGACTGCTATGGAAAAGCCTGTGAAAGAACTAAAACTAGATTGTAAATCGACATAAGCGAGTGAAGATTTTACCGTGTGTTGTGGAGGACGTGACACACAAAAGGATAGGGAGCAATAAATGAGCCAACGACACAACTCATGTGCATGGCGGTCGTTATGATCGTCATTTATTGGGGAATTGATAGCGCAAAGGGCTTCTTCCCATGCGCGGAAACAATTACAGCTGACTCACTAATTGATTCCTCGACTCCGAAGCTACCAGCTAACTCGCTACTTCTGACTGCTGGCACAAACTCATGTTCGCCCTTTTAAGAATGGAATTTGGAATACTCGTCTCTACCGCCCTCCGTTAGCGCAACACGTTGAGCTCTGTAAGCTCACCTTTCCTTTCGAAAGCCTAAGTTTGTATCTGTTGTTGGTGCTCTAGTTCTTAGTCTTGGTCTTGTGCCGAGTGTCGATGCTGCAGTAGCTCCTCGTGTACGAGTTCCAGTAGAAAGTCAGTCAGGTGTTCGAAGCTTCCAACTCCAAATCAGGATCTGCTGAAGAAGAATCAGATAAGGGAGAGCCCATATATAGAAATTCAAGTAGCAAATGATAAAGGGGGAAGGGGAAGAAGAAGGATGTCTCTTTGGTCTTGGTGATAAAATATATTAAAGATTCTTTGATGACACTTATTTGACGTTCAAGTCAGTAAGGATATCGTCGAGGGCTTAATGTTCAAAAAGCATAGTGAGATAGTTAGAGAGCGGGAAGAATGACGTTTGATGCTTAGCAGGAAATAACATCTCGTGCTTGATAGAAAAAATGGCTTTAGAGGTTCCTTTGTGAGACGGGATATATCGTATGACATGATGGATTTGATCGGCTCTCCTTTCGGATTGAGACCAAGTATCATTGCAGGATTGTTGTGGTGTATTCCCTCTGATCACTACCAGTAAAGAATTAATTAGTCTACAATTTGCTTGGTGCAGCAGCGGAAACTCTCTATCCTAGGATTCCTATTTTCTCACTGGATTGCCTCATTCAAGTGAAGCCAGATGAGAAGATGGCAACAAAAGTTTGATCTGCATGGCTGCAGGCTTACCGTGGAACTTTGTGTGTCAAAGTGCTGAAGGCAATGCCAAGATCCAAGCCTCTCTCAATCGAGCCATCCTTTGGACGTAGTGCAGATGGATCTTTTCCCTAGCAAAAACCTCATGATCTGGCCGTGATACACCGATTGATTGGGTGAGAGGTAGACCTCACCAGGAGAGAGGTGAAGGAGCCACAATAAAAGCGTGCACATGTTGCTGCGACCTAATAGTACGATGTAGTACCCCATGGGAGGAAGAAGAAGAACAAAAGACATCAATGGCGGGATCCCCACTTAGGGTGATGCTCGGAAGCAGCCGCGACAAGGGCCTGCACATGTTGCTGCTTGCTGCTGCTGCTGCTGCTGCAAACGAGTTGTATGATGTGGGAGCATCCCCACAATACACTTTTAATGCTCAAGTTACTAAGATATTAAAAAGAAATCGAGAATGAAATGAAAGACCTAGAAGACGGCTAGAGAGTCATCTAGTGTACTAAGGTGATTTTTGAATCGATGTGGTGGTTAATGTCGAGGACGGTGGGATTGTATGTTGAACCATCAAAAGTATACTTGCAATGGTGATCTCTTAGCTAAATGGAGTATCTCATTGGTGTAAAGTTAGCATCCATGCCGGTGTCATCATGTTATCCCTTCACACACAAGACAGTGCACGGCCATTTGAGGGGAGCTCACACGCCTCAAGCTCGTTTGTTGCCTTGATGTGCCTTTCCCATTCATCATGTTGGATCACCGGAAACTAAAACCTAATGACACTCGTGGCCCTACGCTTTTGGCCCACTTTGATTGCACCACGGGCCGATCTATACACACAAAGTGGATAAGTGAAGAACACGTCTCTCTCTCTCTCTCTCTCTCTCTCTCTCTCGCTTCTTCTTTGGCGTTCAATTGTGCACTAACTCGTTTGTCCTCTCTTTTCGGCTTATTTTCATAGAACGGATTTTAGAAAATAAAAAACGAGATTACTCTTAGCCTCCATCACATTGGTTGTTGCCTTGTCGTGGTTACCTTTACCTCTCATCGTTGCTCATCATCTATGTTTCTTCGTGAGGCCTTACCTTCGCCATTGCGTCTTAAGACTTTATCTCAAGTGTATCATCATCAACGTCTATTGTTGTCGTCGTACTTTCGTTCATCACCCTTGAGTGTGCCCTCACCCTCACCTGTCGTTGTTATTGTGCCCTCAAATACTCCGTTGCTCACATTTATTGTTGTCATTATTTCCTTATCCATCACTCTCTAACACACCATTACTCTAGTCCACTAATGTTATCGGTTCCACTCTCACCCATGTCTATTACTATCGTCGCATCGTCCTCATCTATTGATAAAAGATAAGATTTTTTCAATTGACTAAGAAAATCTTTCTTAATAGACTAATTATGACAGAGGAAATCTCTCCCTCTACTTGTATAAATAACTGTTTACTTTAATGAAATTGATTCATCTTCTTCATTACATTTATCGTATTTTTCATCATCCACCACCTCCACTTTTATTATCATCCGTCGTTTTTTTTAACGATGCACTCGAGGTAGAGACAGACATGACGTGAGGTAGGGCAACCTCATATTTTTTTTAAAAATAAAGGTTGTTCTCCAAAAATAAAATTAAGACAATAATCTAGGAAAGAAAGACAGAAAACTAGAGTTTTTTTTAAAGAATTTATCTAATCACGAATTGAAGACTTTGAGGGGGTGAAACGAACGGTCAAATGTAAAACACCTAGGAGAAGTCTGTCAGATACTAATTGACCATGTGATTTGGACGGCGACGTGACAGCTCCCCGTAAAAAAACACACAGCTGGGTGGGTCGTCTCGCTCATCAATCAGTGCCCAACATTAACCAGACTGCACTGCAGATCTATCATGTCCGCCTTAGTCGTCCAAGCTCCCCATGCCTTGGAGCCTCACGCAAACCTCGGACTCTTTCTGGGCTGAGACATGTGAGAAACATTTACAAGCCAGCTGAGCCTCCGACACCTTTAAAGTGGAAGGGACGGCGGCCGGTTTGCCATGCCATAAGCTTCTGCCGGGCGAGGCGAATACAAATCCAAGAACTCCCATCTCGGAGACACCACGAGGCTGTGTCCTCCTCCTCCGACTGCAACTGCGGGGTCCATGCATGACTGAGCTCCACCGTGAGGTATCAGATCAAGTTTAGAGACGTACGGTCGTACGCAAGATCCTGGGGATTGCACTCGTCCCCTCCTGGATTCTTGGAGTAATACTTGCACTTGAAGGATCTTATGAATGATAAGAATAGCTGGTGGCATCAGCTGACAACTATTATGTCATTCATGTACAGCTCTATACCAATTCGATATAACAAATAAGAAACAGAGCTAGGGAGAAGGGATTAAAAGGTGGTAGTAATAGTAAAGGAAAATTCCAGTTTTGCTTTATCTTCCTAAAATTATGTGCATGCTACATCCTTATTGTTGATCGAGCTTATAAATTATAAAAGTCCCCTAATGATACTTACATTTTGAAACAAACGCAATTGGGTTCCTCAGGCACCAATTAGATTGTACATAAATCTTACAACCAAAACTATAAATTTTAGTTTATATAATAAGGATTATTTAGCCTCCAAATGATTATATTCTAAGCTATGGTTTTGTACATATTTAATTTTATTTAAATCTTCTGAGTTCCTAAAGAACAGCGAATCAAATCGATTCTATAGAATTGTGTAGTTGTTTGATTATAGATTGAGAAGTTGGCGAATTGATGTTGCCTAAGGCACCATGGGTGATGTCTTCATATAAGATAAGTCATTTTGTTTGCTGAATAGGTTTTTGCCTCTTGCTACATGTGTTGTGTGTGTTATCTGATGTGAGGTATGATGGCCTGTGCGTGTAAGATGAAAGGAAAAGAGCTTATATAGATGTTAATGAATACAAGAATCATCTCTTGCAATTGGAATCATTCCAGGAAGAGAAACGTCCTCCACAGGACTTCTCTGCACACTGCTAGGTAGTTTCTCAGAAGCAAAACATTATTCCCAGAAGAAGAAAGAAGAAGAACTGATACAAGCCCCTTAGTGTGCTCGTCATGCATGCATGATTCATCCATATCCAACACACCGATCACATGTAGTCCACCTCAAAGGAAGCCTGGCCGTGGTGGAAGATGTTGCCCTGGTGGTGATCGGAAAGGCTTTGGCTTGACCCCCCTCCGGTGGCCTGGAAGGGCTCATGAGAACTGGAGCAGAAGAGGTTGTGGTGGTGGAGGCAGCTGTCGTCGTCGTCGTCGTTGTTGTTGAATGCTGAAGAGGAGGAGGACGGCTGCTGCTGCTGCTGCTGATGTAAGACCTTTTCCTCGGCCACTGCAGCGCCTGCAAGAGATAAAACTGGTCCATTCCTGAGCAGGTTTCCCTTGTTCTGATACTGTTGATGGATCTTGGTGCACATTGTTCCTGTTGTGGTCTTCATGGCTGCTGTTTGAGGATGGTGGTAAATGCATGAGAAGAGGAGAGACGTCCTAAGTGTGAGAGGCTGTTACAAGAGCAAGATGATCGGAACTTACGAGTGTCTGTGGTGGCCTTCTCAGAGGAGTTGGTGGTGGTGTTCTCGGATGGTGACGACTCTGTGGTAGTGGTGGTTGGGAGTTGAGGCTTCCTCCTCCGGCGGTTGTGGTCAGCTAGGCGCTTTCTGCAGCTTCTTTTGGCCTCGTCAAACTCTGCCAACACATGGAACCTGTCCAACCATTTGAACAAGTACGAGGAAAAAAGATGACATGCCATGCGTATCTAACCTTCAAACAAGAAGAAGAAGAAGAAGAAGCTACATGAGGAAAAGGAGTATAGAAGTTGAAGCAGAGGACCAGTAGCATAGAGAATGGTTGTTGAAGCCTCAAAAGGCTATCAAGAAAGAGGTAAGAAGGAATGTGGAGTAATGTACAGAGCCACTGGAGAACACCACAGACAAGGAGGAGAGAGCCAGTCATCATTAATTCTCGAAGCACTTCGATCTAGGGCTTAAATCCCTGCGGCTCACAAAGACAAAGGAAATAACCATTGGGTTCTGCACCGGCGTCAGAATAAAGCTCTATAGATCAACCTTCTTACTCCAAAGTAGGCACGATCACGTAAGTAGAAGGAGATGGACTCTCAACAAGGAACTCCATGATCGAGGTCAGGAGTAAGACACTTTCCGATGGAGATAAGACGAACACGTGCAGCATCCCAACAAAGTAAATCGATAGGAGGAGGTAAATAGACGTGGGGTTTGTCTTCTTCTCAGTTGGTTCGGTCGTACCTGCTGCACTGCTGGCAGAAACGTTGCTGTAACCCACCGACGATGACGACGGTGGCCTTGGAGTGGAATTCGCACACTCTGTGGCGGCGGTGGTAGTGCTTCGCCCCGGAGAGGTCAGCCTTGCACCCCTCGGCCTGGCACCGCGGCTGATGATTGTTCAGAGTCGACCTCGAGAGCTGCCAGTCGATCGCAAGTGCATCACCGGACGAGAAGTAGGTCCGGTGGCCCAAATTTAGCCCGATTCGGCCGCAGCCGCCCGTGCCGTCTTCCCTTTTGATCAGAACCACGGGGTAGTCGGGCATCGGCGGCGGCGAGTAGAAGTGGAAGTTGCTCATGGGGAGGAGAGGCGGTGGGCAGTCCGGCAAGGGCACGCAGGGGAAGACTGCATGGTCCTGGAGTTCGTAGGTGGTGCTGGGGATGGTGGTGTTGGGGTTGTGGGAGCTGGTCTCCCAGTCCCAGATATGGTGCTGCTTTTGGCTGCTGCCTTCCAGCCCAGAAAAGGACATCATCGACGGGAGAAAGGCTTCGGCGGAGCTGGATTTGTTGTTCATCTTCCCATGAAGAGGCGGAGAAACCAAGAGAAATAAAGAGAGGAGGGAGGGAGGGAGGGAAGGAGTAACAACGCAACGCAGAAGCGGAAGTTGTTCTCTGGGCTTTCTCCTTTGGTCTCTGCATAAAGCGTCGAGAGGGGGGTATTGAAAAGGCAAGGTTGAGTAGGATGGTTATAAAGGAAGAGAGAGAGAGAGAGAGAAAGAAGCTGCTGCTTCTGAAAGGTCACTATAACTATTACTGCTTCTGTCTGAGCTAAAGTGAGGTTTATATCCGACTCCAAAGCCATTGTGCCACGAAGGTGGGTTTGTCTGAAAGCTATGCAAGAGAGTGGAAGGAGTGGCTGTGGTGCCTTTGTCAGAGAAGCAAAAAAGAAAAAGAAAAAGGCTCTGTGTAAAACTCGGAGACCAAACATATACATGTGTTTAGCGATTAATCTCTTCTGTCTACTAACTGCATGGCTTTTCCATGCAAATCTTGTCAGAAGTGTCAGAGTGGTGATGGCTTGCAGTACGACGTCGACAGAGAAAGGGTCTCTCTTTTCATCCCATTGGCTGAGTTCCGTCCTGTGTCGATCCTCCTACTTTATAGGATAGTTGTAAGGAGGAACACAAGAGGCTGCCGAGAGTCCAAGTTTCTGCGGCCGAAGAAATGATGTGTTTGGTTCCTAACAGTCAAGGCTTCATTTCATCGGTGGTGCAGTAGATGGGTTGTATAAACGAGATGCATCCCAATAGATCTTCGACTGATACGAGGCTTTAAGGCCGGGAGCGAACAGTGTGACCACGTACTACTCTTTTCATGTGTGTTTGGATAGGAGGAAATGCTACCTCTAAAATACGTGTAGAAGCAATGCCATGATTGAGAACTGAATCAGAATCGAATCGGTCAAGAACCGAAACTGAATAGGTTTAACAGTTCGATGATTCCGAATTAAAGTTAAATTCGATTCTGAATCGATCGAAAAAAAATAAAGAAAACCTAATCCTCTTCCAGAAGCAATGCCATGGATTCATAATCAGAAAGAGAGAGATGAGTCAAAGAAAGCAACATGACTTCAGCTGGGAGGGAGAAGGAACCAGGAAAGAAGTAGTACTGTTCTTGAGCAGGGAAAGGCCTCCCACAAGGATGCCTCTGTAACATGATTTATAACACTCATGCTGGGGTCCATGGGAGTACTATAACCTGTTAGCTACACTCGACATTGTTCATTCGGATGCTGAGAGAACTGCCGTGACGAGCGTTCATATCTGAAAAGAACAAGGAAATCTTATTGTCGTGCTGTGCTCATGTATGAGAAGGAATTCCATGGAGCGTAAGCTTTAGGTTGGATTGAAGAGCTGAAAAGGAGAAGAAGGAAAGACAAACGTTTTTGCTGTTTTGGCATCATCTTTACAAGATTTTTTTGGAAGGGTCAATCAACATATGCACAATTAGCTAATGAGGATTATATGTCACGAATCGGTCTAACACGACAGTTGGTTTATTAATTTCATTGAGCGGGAATCACTAGTCCAAAGATCCTTCACAATAATAGGCTAATGTCAATAAAAAACAAATATTTACCTCGAATCAAAATAAGAACAAAAGCTTTTAACCAACGACCACGTTAAGTTAGCGAAATCTAAATAGAAAATATTATATGGAATGTTCTCCTTAACCATAGACGACTAAGGGATCGACTACAAAAGGTAAAATGGGATGCAGTAATCTAGGTTAAATTCTATCTCTTCTATTCCCAACTCATTAACCCCCACATCGAGACCTAACTTGAGGGACCACTTGGAAGTTTACTAATTCCACATCGAGAGAGCAAACTTGCTCGGCAATTTGACGAGCTCTCTCACGACATCGATCTTCATGCAAGAGGGACATACACTTTGGGGCTATTCCACCTCGACTTTGTATGTGACCAGGGTTCTTTACATGGATCAAGCATGAACCCAATTGGATTGGTGAACATTAAGTCAACCACCGACATCAAATCTCATCGGATGCAGAATAAACTACGATGTTATAATCTCTCTCACACAAGGACTTAACATCCTTACCAATAGCTCATATTAAATATTAAGTATCTTATGAGGCATAACCAAGTATTAGTTTCATGTCATGACATATCATTTCCCATACCAGGCATAACAAATTGGTGGTTTCATGTTGTGACCTCTCTGATCCCATCCTTGGATAACCCGTCCAATACTTAATTGATTGAAAAAGCTTCACTGAGATAAAAAAAATTTTTGTTTGCTAAAAGCAATTGGCATTCTATCTTATTCCGCTAAAGTGAAGTAAAAAGAATGAGAACATAATAAGCATAAATAATCATAAGTTGTGTGTACCATAATTAATCATAATTTGTACTATCACGAACTTAGTTTGTTTTGTTTAAGTCATATGACACTATTGCATATCCATTCGTAAATGGTCAATCACCTTGAAATCTCATAGTCTCTTAAAGATCTACAAAAGAAAAGACGAGTTTAAGGAAGAGTTTAACTCGAGATTAAGAAAATACTTGAAAGGTAAAATAAATTATAAATAAAGTCTTCGTAAGCTCTAAACAGTCATGCAATGTCCAAGGTAGTCCACTGTAGCCAAAAGTCTCAAGTGCACATAAGATATTGTTGTGGAATAACATAATGAACCAGCCATAGATACTATCCCAAAAGCCCATCTAGTCATATGCCACTTGGGTAGCTCCCCGATGCTATGCTGACTAATACTTTGTACCATTTTGTGGAGTTAGAAAACTTCCAAAATAATTGCTTGGATAATCATTTTTGGATAGTTTTGTATTTGTACGACGACTGCACACAACCTATATTTATTAGATTGAAATAACTATAATAGCTAATCATAAGGGCTGTCAAGCTTATTGTAAGCTCTCTACATGTTATGTAAAAAATAAAAAAAAATAAATGACATGGATATGCATAAATATTATATTGAACACCCTATTTACAGTTCTGTTCATGACATTCTCTCTCACTCATTCTTTCGACTTCCTTGTCGAAGCATTCATGGATGTTGCATCTCCTCACTTTTACTGAAACTTTAATCTTGTGCTTCAATTGCAATATATCTCTTGGCTTCCAATTGTTCTTCATTACTGTTGTTAAGTAGTCGAGCTTTGATCCGCTAATGTCGATTTAATTGGTCAATGATTGACTTTAGTGTGGGATCGATCGAGTTATGCTAATTTTTACTAGTTCCTATGGATCTCTTTGATAAAAGAAAAGACCTTCCATATTTTATCCTATTCTCTCAAACGTTTCATTCAACTTGAATTGGTTGGATGCATAATGGAATTATAATGAGCATTGCCTTATCGATTTTGAAGTTTTAAAGGTCTTTTCTATGCAAAATTTATCCATTAATTTCTCTTATACTTAGTTATTGCTTGTAAGTAGGTTCGTATCACTTTTACTTTCTATTGTTATTCTATTAAAAAATAAAATAAACAATCTACTTTCGATAGAACCGATCATTATTGGTGATAATTTGATAAGTGCTATCTTCCATTTTCTTCAAAGGATCCTTGAACATATTAGAGCTCATCTACTAAATAAATAAGATAATTGAGGTACTTAATTTCTCATATTCAAAGTATTAAGAAATCAAAGATTACTTGACTTTGTTTGCCTCCTTTAGGGTTATATTTTATACATAATACTAGTCTTTGCTTGTTCTTTACTCCCACTTTTGAAGCACTCAAAATATTTATACTCCTTGCGTTGAGTTAGTTACTACAATTCACTTCCTCATTACAATCGAGTTTTTGGAATACAAGAAGTTTTGCTCTAAAAGAGTAAAATTTCACCCCGACGTAAAATAAGTCTCTAATAGTTTTGGTTACCTTTGGGGTTGTACCATCTTCGCTATCATTCTTATCGCCTACTCTAAATAGAAAAGATATAGTATCATGTACTACCTACTTCGTTCCTTTGTTGAGTACTCCTACATCGATCAGAAGTCTCCCACTTTTGGTTATTTTGATAAGAAGCCTATCAATATTGATCTTACAAAGTTTCTCAGCCTTTGTCATTCAGCCTTATCTCAGTACTTAGAGTTTGTCTCCATATTTTCCACCTCTTTGACCCCTTTCACGATTATGCTCTCTCCCTCCATAAGATCAAGAGATCGATGATTCAACAAAATTCTCACCTCTATAGTACTATCATATTGTCATGCCTATGACCCTACTATTTATCGCCTCATATCTATATTCCTTTCTTCACATTGATAATATGTCTATGCAATACTGTGGCACTCCTTTGAGTTCACATTCATTCTGATCGATAGTTGGTTTTGGGTAGCTAAGTCCATTTAGATTCATCATTGTTTCCTCACCCCTTTCGACCATCTACTTCAACACCCTTATGTTATCTGAGTAGTTCCCCTTGGTCGATAGAAAAATAGAGGATAACTCTCATACATGGCCTCTACTATTATGTTGTATAGCTCACACCAATTTTATTCTCCTTTGTATCCTTAATAGCAACATTCACTCACTTGGCTTCATCTTTTAATTTGTTGAGCTCCTTTAAGTGAATATATGCTCTTAAGCTGTCCAACCCTCTATCTACTCTAATCATACCTCTATATAATCACGCCCCTTCATGAGACTAATTGGTACTTGTATTCGGAATCCTCCTTTGTGGTACACACAACGAAATTATTTAGGGTATATGTTTAAAGGTGAATCGGTCTCATTATCGTGATCTCATCGTGATTCAACTCTTATTGCATAGATCCATGGATATCACAATATATACAACGGATAATATAAAGTGAGAAAAATACCAAATAAAAAAAAAAAAAGTGCGAATCATGTCACACGTGTCATCATTCGTGTGATTGACTTATAGGGCACCTATGACTAACACATATTATCCAATACGAGTCACTTGCTTGATTTGTTAAGCTTTATAGAGCTATCATTTTGAGGTACCCCTCCTTAACATGGGTGCGTCATTGTATATGATTCTCTATATAGAGAATCGAGATTTATCATTCTTAGATATTTGTCTAATTGGAGTACCTTTTCTCTTTACATCATTCCCTCTAAAAGTTTCTGAGACCATCATTCCCTTGGACTACATTACATTGTTAAACAAACTATGCACTATTATACTATCATGAATATATTTTCTAGATAGTGACTCTTTATCAATACAACCCCCGTTCTGCTCCTTAAGGCTTGGAAATATGTTGAATTTACTATACACTTCAGTCTCCTATAGATGTATCATTCCTATATTGAAGAAAAAATCTCAATACTCTATGGTGTCGACTTTTGGTTGCCTTGGAATAGCATCGATAGTCCATCGTTCACATACAAGCCCTTGCATAAGTAACAAATTTTTTGAGTTAGCAATTTCCTTCACTTTTGTAAGCTGTGCACAACTTTCAATCGCCAAGTAACCCGTCCTTCATTATATGGTCTCATCCTTTGCTAAGCACTCTACTTGTTTTAACTACTATCAAGTTTGGATGTCAATGTTGAGCCATAGCTCGAACTCAACCATCCCAACCTTTATACACTATGTAATCTTCCAAACTTGTTTGTCCACATGATGCCTCTTACGCGAAGAGTTGGTCATTCATTTGAATGCCAATTTTAGATGTCCGTTCCTCCGAGCATCCCCTTTCACTATGTCTATATACTTGTTTCCCTTAAACGATCACGTGTATTGGCTGGCTTAATGCAATCCTGTTAGATCTTTTACATTTGCATATCAAGTGTTCATAAGTGTACTTGTCCTGCTTTAATACCATATGTAATGGATTTAGCTTATTTTACTTAAGTCAGGCAATATCTATACATGTCAAATACACAATTTATATTTACAAGATTGAAGTAATCATAAAAGTTCATCAAAATAGGATCATTAAATCTACTATAAACTATTTATAGGTAAAGTACGAATAAAATCGAACAACATAAATATATATAAACGTAATATCAGATATTCTATTTATAACATAATCCGTTATACTTATCACAAAGTAAACTTAAATCTAATTTTGACCTTTTTATGACTTGCGCAAGAAGAAAACATTTAACGAACGAATGCACAAACAAACTACTTCCATCGCTTCATCAAAGTGCAAATCACCGTGAAAATAAATGATCGCACATGAAAGATTAGTGCATAGAGTTTACACAAACTTAAACAAATCATTTTAGAAAAATATACATTGTGTATGGGTGAACCTCATATGGTGAACTCTCGTCCAGACGTTCAATATACGTAATCTTAACCTTTTACATCAGGTCAGGTAGCATTAATCCAGTACATAAATGTCCATCAAATCAAGATCAGCGTACAGTATTCGTGTAACAAAATTTTCATATGCTTTTTGTTGCTTTTTGTTTTCTAGTAAATGCACTCAAGGTTGGTGATGGCTTTTTGGATGCCACGAGCACCCAGCACTAGAGAGCTAACCTCACCATGCAACCGGAGGAGGATAGATCTATGGGAAGCGTGTCAAACTTGTTCTAATAAAAATCACATGTCCAAGTCCAATCAGGTGATTTTAGATGTCTCCCACAACATGTCCTCAAACTTCGAAAGATCCCAATACATAGATTTGCATCATGAACATAACCCAACAAATTCATCTCTATCTTAAAGAGTACGGAAAGCAAGAGTCACAAACATCAAACATCATCTACGTCTTGTAAGAAAGAATTTAAGGGGAATTACACCATATGGGTTGCGGGGTTTCTTATACCGTGTAGTGTTGTTGGATATTGTCGACATCGATGCCTTTGAGCTTGAACACCGACTCGACGTGTCCCTTCAGAGTGTGCACCTCACGAAGTCTGTCGATAATGATGATATCAGATAAATAAAGATGGAAAGAGAACTAAGAAAATAATCTTAAGTTGCTAAATATTATAGAGAATCGAAAAACTCATGACTAATATATAACAATGCAAAAAAGTGTGATGGCTAATCTATCCTATTAATCTTTACTCGTGATGCGTGTAATATATAATAAGATCAGCAGATGTCACTAAACTTTATCCATATTTGTCGACAATAAAATATACTATCGAATATCAGCTTAATATATATAACTCATACTTTGATCTTAAAATAGCTTCTTTCTTTTTTTCCTTTTTAAAACCATCATACAAGTACAAGGCAAACGACAAGTAGAGTTATATGGTAGAAAAGAATGAGGTCAAATCTCAAACCTTCTTCTGTTCTTTTCTCCCAAACCCCAAAATCTCTAATAACTGCATTTGATTTTTTTATTTTTTATTTTGTCTATGACACCTATCACAATGTGTGTGTTCAAAACCTAGGGATGACTTTTTGCTATTTTGTCGCCTCATCTCCTTTTCATAGTAAAAGATATTTATGATGGTTGGGGTAGTTTTGAATGAAAAAAATATTCAATACCTAATTATTTATTTAAAAAAAATAAAAAATAATACATAAAATGACATGCATGATGCTCACATGTGGACTTTGAATCCTATCATTTGTATAACAATGCACTAATCAACTCAACAGACACAATACCTTATTGTTTGTTAACGCCTCAATATGTGAAGAATAATGATACAATAGAAACAAGTCAGTGAAATTTGTTTTGCAATAACACCGGTTAAACTAAAGACAATTGTATCACTTCTCATAATATTTTCATAAATTAATTTCTCATTTGATCGGGACATCTATATATCTTGTTCCCAAATGTAAAGTTAGGACACTCTTAAGTTTTTGTATGTCTTGTTTTCTAACTCAAATGTATAAAGCATAAAAAAAAAAAATATTGAAATGAGAACTGAATGAATTGAAAATGACATACCTTGCAACTTCAGCTCGCCTTTTAGCTTGCTCGGCAATCTCTGAAAGTTCTCGGTAACTGCTTTTGTCAGAGAAGAGGTTAGCATTTTCCGGAGTTTGGAGACCGTGCAGTGTTCTCTGTGCCATAGCCCATTGAGCTTCCCTTTCTTCCCTGCCATAGTCCTTCTTGGTGGTGAAGGCAATCTGAAATTTCATAGGAGCAGACTTAGAAAGAGATGTTGAGAGAGAGAGAGCGAGAGAGAGATGGAACTGCTAATGTACAGTTCATAATGATTGATACCTTCTTCTCAAGGAGGTTATCCCAAGCCTTTCCACTTAGAATGTAGCGGATGCAGAATTTGAACAAGTCAAGAGGGGCAAATGTCACAAAACTGTAAAGCCAAATGACACCGGCCCATCCCCAGCCTATTCCTTCTATCCGTGCAAACCCCCACTTGGGATAAACAGCTATAAGGGTTGCAACCTGTGAGAAGCAAATGTTTGGTTTAGTCATCAGGATGAACAAATTATAATTAGATTTTTCATGAAGAACATGGCATAGCCAGTGAGTGGTTTTTGTAAGTTTGTTCACTTTGGTCTTTTCCAAATCCAACTTAAGTCATTCAAATGAAGAGAGAACAATATCCAGAGACAAAGGAAAGGTCAAAATGCAGGAGTATAGTGTCTTACCAGCTGAGCACCAACAAATGCGAAGACCAAGAGAAGTCCGGGCCGTTCAACAAAACACCAACTACGTGATCGAGTAACAAATATAAGAGCCTGACTGATTATACTAACTTGCAGATATAAAGCGGACATCATCTTGTCATTGCTATGCCTCAATGATCTAACTTTGAACTTATCCTGCAAAGGCATGACATGAAACTGGCATCAGATGTATGATCATATCTGCAGTGATTCATTGGAAACAGAGAACATAATGTAACTAATTACAAAGATCAAGAATGTACTAAGTGAGGTTTTCAATTAAGCAATTCTGCATAAGTGCAAGCAGAATGAGCTATCCCAAACATTGTTCTGCCTGAGATTTCTGTGTTGCAGGAAAAGAGAACAAACAGTGCTCACCGGGAAGAAGTCTGTCTCTCTCATGGCCCAGAAGAATATAACAGTCATCAATGCCAAATAACCACCAAACACAATGCCGGTAGCAAATATCTCTCTCAACTTCCAACTATCAGGCATTGGCGATGGCTTCACACGGTCCTTTGAGATCGTCATAATTGTACCTGCAATTAGGAAATCATGATGGAGAAATCCAAAGGCAAGAACATGCAAAAGAAGCTGTTTAACAAAAGAGCTCACCATCATTAAGGATAGCAATGATCAAAACCATGAAGGGTGAGAAATCGAATTTCCAAATCAATGCAATAAGCATAAAACCGACCTACAGAGATTGAACTGAAATTAGAATCATGGAACTGAAAGAAAAATCATGAACAAAAAACCAGATATTTATATTGAAGGCAAGTCAATTTAGAACTTACAACAATCCGAATAGTGATGGAGACAGCATAAATCTACATCAAAACAAGATCAAGAGCTAAGCCAAAATGACATCGGAAGCAAGGAATTATAACAGCAGTCATAAGCACCTACCGTGTAGTTTTTCATCCTCTGGAAAATAGCTCTGCTGGTAAGAACAGCACTGATGATGACACTAAGCCCAGGCTGGGTGAGGACAATGTCAGAAGCACTTCTAGCGGCATCTGTGGCATCAGAAACAGCAATTCCTATGTCTGCCTTCTTTAAAGCAGGAGCATCATTAACTCCATCTCCAGTCATCCCACATATGTGCTTTCTCTCCTTCAATTTCTTCACAATTTCATATTTGTGTTCTATTTCATAAACGAAAGTTAAAGTCAATTGTACATTATACTACTAAAAGCTATGACAATTTGATAACAAAAGAAAATTTCACTGACCTGGAAAAACTCCGGCAAATCCATCAGCCTTCTCAATTAGTTCATCTACAGGAAGTTCAGCAATAGATTCATCCTTCTTTTGGCCAAGCAAGTAAGAGGCAGGATACATGTTGGTTCCCATTCCAAGTCTTCGGCCAGTTTCCTTGGCGATTGCAAGCTGGTCACCTGGATTGAACATAACAACATTAGGAATAAATGAAAACCAAAGTATCAACATACAAATGACAAGGACTGATCCAACTTGCCAGTGATCATCTTCACGTTGACACCAAGATTGAGTGCCCTGCGAATAGTTTCAGCACTGTCATGCCTTGGAGGATCAAACAGAGGCAACAAGCCGACAAATTGCCATGGCCCTCCAGCACGATCCTTGGACTTCTCCGGGACTTCCTGCAGGACAGAAAACAAAGTTCCATGAGGAAGGAGCGGTACCACAGAACTGCCAAGAACAAGAAGAGAAACCTGTCTTGCAACAGCTAGTGAGCGAAGCCCGCGTTCAGCAAACTTGTCGATGACATAGTGGACCTTGTTGCGGATATCTTCGTTGCAATTGCAGAGGTTCAAAATCTATTCCCGGTGAGGAAACAAATTATGACACCCCTTAGTGATGCATACAAATTCAACAACTAGAACGACAGAAATGTGACGATAAAGGAAAGAACTGTACCTGCTCAGGAGCACCTTTACTTACACGATGCCAGTTTCCATCAAGGTCAATGTAGGTAAGAGCAGTTCTCTTGTCGACAGGGTTGAATGGGAGAAAATGTACCTCTGTTATCCCAGCTCTCGCCTATGCATGACACATGAGACGTAGTATTCAACCTTTATGAAGCTCCATGATCAATAGGGTGCTTGTAAATATGAAAAGATACCTCCTTTGGGTCGCCAAGCGTTCTGATCATAGCAGCGTCGATGGCGTCTTGGTTCTCGATCCGCGATGCTCTTGCGGCCAGTAGTACCACATGCTCCTTATCCACGTCCCTCACGAAAACCTCGATCAGGTTCTTGTCGACGCTTAACTTGTTCAGAGTCAGCGTCCCAGTTTTGTCGCTGCACAGGACGTCCATGCCGGCCATCTCCTCGATGGCTGTCATCCGCTTCGTGATCGCGCCCTGCTGAGAGAGCCGGTGTGAGCCAATCGCCATGGTCACCGACAGGACGGTGGGCATGGCGATGGGGATCCCTCCTATCAGGAGGACCAGCAGGTTGTCGATGCCGTCCCTGTACTTCCGGTGCTGGATCGGGTACATGACGACGACCTCGATGACAATGCCGACGGCGATGGAGCAGATGCAGAAGTTGCCGATGGCGGTGAGGACTTTCTGGAAGTGTCCCACCTCGTTGGTGCTCTCCACGAGGTGGGCGGCCTTCCCCAAGAAGGTGTGGACGCCGGTGGCGATGACGACCGCCTCGATCTCACCCTGCTTGCAGGTGGAGCCTGAGAACACTTCCTCACCGGGGAACTTTGTGACGGGGATGGATTCTCCGGTAAGTGACGACTGGTCAATCTTCAGCGGGTCGCCCTCAAGAAGCCGCGCGTCGGCAGGGACTATGTCTCCCAGCTTGATGCTTATGATGTCGCCGGGCACAAGAATCGCCGCGTCCTGCTCGCTCCAGTGGCCATCTCTGAGCACCTGTCGCTCATCAGACGAGACAACCACGTATAAGTAGAGGTGTGGGGAACAGAACAACGTGGGACTACGAGACCAGTTTCTTGCCTTCGTTTTCGGAGCAAGACCAGCCATGAGGGCAGCGGCGGCGTTCCCAGCATTGTTCTCTTCGATGAAGCTGATGGTGGAGTTGATCAAGAGAAGCACGATGATGCCGACGAAGTCCTGCCAGTCCGGTGGCTGCCCCCCACCGTTGGCGAGGGCGATGGCCATGATCGCGGCCATTTCCATAACCCACGAAAGGGGGTTCCACATGAAGCCCAGAAATTTGAGGACTTTGCTCTCCTGCCGTGCAGAATCGTCACAGCAGACAGTCCAAATGCAAGGAATCGAAAGAAAGAATGCGGAACGGAAACGGATTGCAAAAGAAGCAGGAAAAGAGGACCTTTTTCTCCTCGAGCTTGTTGGGGCCAAAGATCTGGAGCCGCTTGTCTCCTTCCCCCGTGGTCAGCCCATCTTTGGTACATTTCAGCTGCTCGAACACCTCCTCGATCGGCACGCGCTCCTGCAACCACAAGCCAACAAGCCATCGTCGTCAGAATGGTGATGGCGACGGCGGCAGTGGCATCTCGGGAGATTCTCGTGATAGCGTCGCGTGAATCAACCGCGAAAAGCTATTCAATTTCCTCGTGAATTTTCTCAAGCGAAAGAACAGCAGCCACCACATGTCCTCTCCCGCGCCAACCAAACACCGCCGCGCAAAAAAGAGACACCTTTCTTTTATCCTTGTCTCATGTTTTGCCGGACAAATCACAGGGGGATATATGGAGCGGTCGATCACGGTTTCTCCGGGGGCCAAAAAAATATCCGGAACTCTACGGAGGATTTTGGGGTCTTCCCAGGCATCGAGGAACGTGAACGGCCGAAAGACCACCACCAAGGAAGTGCTCAAGAACTATCTTATGGATCTCAAAGTAATGATCACGAGAATAAAGGGAAAAGACTTAAGAGATAATCTCTGTTTGTGGAACTCGAACTAAAGAATGATTTCAGAGATTAAAGGTAAAATCCTAGAGAATAATGCTTGTATTGGCTGCCTTCCCTGTCTCACATTCCTTCCTTTTCATGAGAATAAAGAAACGATGAATAACCAGATCAAAAAGAAAAATGAAGTGGAATCAATTGAATCTTTTGTTCCCAGCAATACACTTTATGTAAACATCAGATGCATAAAAAAGATCAATTTTGATTCAGAAAACACTATCTTGAATCGCTCATAAACTACTAATGCTTCCATGTTAGCAATTTGGAGAGCCCAAAACGTCAAGAAAAGCAAAGCAGCAAGATCAAAGCAACCAAGTAGGGTAGTAATAGAATCGTGGGATATGGAGTCGCTCACCAGATCAACCGTCTCGTTCTTGATCGCCTCCAAGCTGATGTTCCCGTCCATCTCTCCCACTCCTCGAGGGGCCGCTCGCTACTAGCAAACCCTAGAAAAGAAGCAGAGAAGTCGCCGATCTCTCCAACTCTCTCGCCCCCGCGCGAGGAAGAAGGTACGGAGTCCGAGCGGAGAGGGGGGACGACGCTCGGCACCGCCTTTTATAGCAGGCTTCCTACCAAGCGGGCCCCGCCGCCGCAACCTTCCTCGACCTGATGACGTGTCGGGGCTTCTTCATTCTCGCCTATAACAACCAAGGCAGGGTCCTCCCGCCTTTGCCTCACCAGCCAAGCATGGGTCCCTCGTTAAGATAAGTTCAAGGCGCCACAGGCGATGGACCATTACGCCAACGCTGCCTGAGGACAACAGATGATCAAAGCTTTTCCTCCAGCGCCGCACCCGGGAGCATCGCGTGAAGCTTTTGCACAGCAAACCACATGGCCTTTAACAGCCGTCGGATACTCCCCCTTCCGCGACCCATCACCACACGATTACTTGTGCGACGGTACACGGATCTGTTCCTCCCGGATCTCCTCGATCCACAGGAGCCACACCCTTTCGCATCAAGATACGTGCGAAACAAAGTGTCGATAGTAGAAAAGATCTCGTCTCTGTTAGCATCTTATACACCGAGATTGGCTGTGGACGACGGGATTCCGAGGGAAAGTATATTCCACGGCGGATTCTTGGAGTAGGGTGTGGGAAAAGGTATCTGGGAATCCAAAGATTCTTCTGACAGGGAAATCAAAGCCCCCCAAAAAATGTTTGGTAAAGATGATTAGTGAAGATTATATTATATGTCGAATTGATGTAAGAAAATAAATCAATTATAAATGTCAACAGAGTCCGCTAATCTAAAATTCAAAGACACGACCGTTGAAGAGACCTTCATATATAGATTTCAAGATACGAGAGTCCGACACTATCGCAACAGCAAGACAAAATGCACTACAGAAGCAAACATATCCCTACCTCTCATATAAGCCCAAGCGTTCGACGTGGGAAGCAGAAGGTAGTGTAAGGCCGCAATGGAGAACGGCAGCAGCAGCCACAGGCGACACAACCCGTCTCCTGCACTCGTCTCCACTGGCTGCTCGAGGTTCAAGTCTTACCTCTCCCTCTGCCGGCCACCCCCCGCCCATCGCCAGCCGCCATCGCTTGACGCGCACCCGCAACCGCCTGCGCGCGAGCCGTCCCTCTGTGGCGACGGGGAAACCGCAGCTCAAGCCTACTGGAGGAGAGCGCGGCGGCTGGAGCAGGAGCTGCGGAAGCTCGACATGTGGCTGAGCACGGAGAAACGGCTAACGGTGTGCCTGAAGAACTCCCCCGCGGTGAAGGCAGAGAACGGTCGCGCGGAGATGGCGAGGTTGGCGGACGGCAGCTACCTGCATGAAATCAGGAGAATAGGCCGGCCGTGGGGGAGCTTGGTCATGCAAGTTTCGACGCCATTGATCGAGGAGAACGCTACGACCGCAGCGGAGGTGATCCAATTCCTCCTTGTATAACGTTCGTGGAATACATCTAATGAGTTGCAGATCGAGCAGGTTGTGTGTGGGATGGCGTCCTTGCGAAGAGGGGATCTGTGGAAGTGCCTGCATGAGTCGATGTCAATGAGCAACTTAAGCGGGCATCAACAGGGTCAGATCAAGGGTAAGAAGGTTATAATGGGAAGCGAGGACCATTTCGTGGAGGCGGTGCTGCTGGATTCGATGGAGAACATGGAAGGGTTGGCCTTGGAGGGGCTTCGCATCCAGATGGGCACAAGCGGCGGAAGAGCCGGCGAGGTGGCGGAGAAGAAGGGGAAGGCAGCGACGAGGAAGGACGGGATGGTTCTGGTGATGATGATTCAGATGAGAGATCCGAAAGAGAACTACGAGGCCGTCGGCGAGCCCATGATCGGATTCATCGAGGCGGCGGCGGTGGGGAGTCGAAGGTTCGATGTCCAAGGCGTGCTAGTCGCAGGGATGAAGCCGTCGATGCGAGCAGGGTGTGACGGCAGAGGCTTCATATGGAGTGCTTCGTTGAAAGGTTGCGAGCGGTCGTCGAGCGGTTGCTGCCTGCAGTATGTGAGACATCCGAATAGATTTTTAGCATGACGAAGACGATATATCGTTGCTTGTCTTTTTTTCCTTGACATTTTGATTCATTTCACGAGTGAATTCCTTATTCGGTACGTAACTTTCAACACTCCATTACTTAGCAGTACTGCATTACATATACAATCAAGATTTGCTATGAGAAATGCGAACAGAAAGGAACCTAATAAGAAGCATTGGAAAGCCAGTACCATCAAGCAAGAATAAATCTTCCGAACATTTCATCAAATTTCGTGGAGAGAACAATTCCAAACAGTTGAAATAATGGTTCTGTACTTCTGTAGTTTCCAAGCATACAGAAATGAGCCAAAATATTTAATTATAGCTTCAAATCGAGTGCCACTACAGTAAACAAGACTGCTTTAGACTTACCAAGCAGCAATAGACTGAGCTACATTGGTGGATTCAGTGGGGTATTTTGAATCCTCATGATTTGTAGATTTAGGGTATCACAGAGTATCGATACCACACAATATTTGTTTAATGTTTTAGGCCATCCCAGCTGCTTGGAGATAACTGGAAGATCTAGGTAAAGGTAAGATTAGCTTTTCACCGCCATCAGCTTACCTTGGTTTCTTGAGCATTTACACCTCCTAGGATGACAATAACAGCATGATTAGTGCTTTATATTATGGTAGCCATCAAAATTAAAGGAAAAAAAAAAGAATTTAATGAAGAAACATAATTGCCACTCATGAAAAAGGATGAATTTAATAGTTTGTAATTTTGTATAAAGTTCCTGGAATGCATATGCCCATGTAGTTGAATGGTGATAAGTGCGTTAATTCACTGATGCCAGAATTCGTAGTGGTTTCTTCTGCGAAGATATTATCGAACAGTCATTGCTATACACAGCTTTGGAATCCACAGAGCAAAATTCAAGATGCAAAAAGCTTTGCCACCATCAAAAATAGGTTAGGAGATCTGTCATGGGCAACGACATTGAACAATCATTCACTATATACGCACATCTTGATGCATATCCAAGTGGCGCTGTCAACATTCTGTGTTTAAACTCTAGCAATCTTGTCGATGTATAAAATATAGATGGCCTGATTTGATATATAGATGTTCCAACAAGGATCTTGGCATTAGGTGCTTCCCATAAATAACTCAAGGTCATGCTAATTCAAATCAATGGTTTGATGACCTATAGAATCCAAATAACATGAACAAAAAGAAATTTATACACCAAGCCTCCAGCTAGCTGGATCTTCTATTTCCTTGTTACATAAGCAAAGTGATCTTCAACTTAATTTGTTCTTTTAAAAACACACAAGAATTGAGCCAACAAAAATAATAGTTTAGTTTAACTAGTATTTACATGATATTTTGGTCTGTTGTCTAAAATAGACAATTCATCACAGTACAATATAGTCAGTATTCACTCCAGAAATATGTTTTCTAGAATTAATTTCAACAATTCACTGTTAGATACGAACTACACCAATCTCATGCATAACTTATGAGTTAAGAAAGATCCATATTGTTTATTGTTAACATTGTTTTGATTGATGAAAGCCAAGTAAAGAAATAAAGACAAAAGTCAGAATTAAATTTTTAAGCGAAAGAAAACTGAAATCAAATATGTGAAAAGCAAGTTAGATTTAAATTTAAATATATGCACAACAAGTAAAGACACATAAACAAAAGGCATCAACAAGAAAACATGAGCAATAGAAATATAAATCTAAATATACTAATTCTATGCACCTCGGCAGATTTTGAAAGGATCACCTCCCTCTCAGCATCAAACTGGCTGCTCAATCTCCTAAAGAGAAAGAAACATAAATATGAAAGCAGCCATAGATAAATGTGACAAAAATGAGTTATTGGGAATTACCTTGGCTTGTCATTTTTTGCAAAATGCTTTGACATTATTGAAGCCTGCATTAAAATACAAATGGAGGTCACCATACTCCTAGCTACAACAAACTTCAATAATATTAGGCAAATTTAAATAAATTGTAGATTTAGATAATAAAACATTCTACTTTGAAAAACCATAAAGCCATGTATCCCTTATTACAGCATATGGTACCTACAAGCTCTAAAGGTCAAACGCAAATTCCTTTTGGGCATGTTGTTGACTGATGTTAGCCCAATGATTCTCAGTCAGTATGTCAAGCAAACAACTAATTCATGTTATTTTAAAAGCAACAGGATACTTTCAAAGCATAAGTTTTTCTGCAGTTGAGAAGCAGATAAAACAGAAGCATATAAGATTACAGTACAAATCTTCTTTCCTACATAATACTTTAGGCATAATATAGGGTCAAATCATTCCATGAAACTCGGTAAAACTAAAGATTTACTGATCTACAATTAGCAATCAAGACATCTGTATGACGCTTGAAAGTATATTTTAACCTGCTCTTGAATAATGCTTCTAGCTTCAACAAGTTGAGCTTCAAGCTCGAGTTCCCTTTCAGTTGCTTCACAGGTCACCTCAGCTCCTTTTTGTGCATCCTGCAACTGTGACATCCTTGCCTGTAACAAGAAAAAAGAGATAGAGTAAATAAAAAAAATAAAAAAAGCTAATATATCAACTTGAGCATCTAATTGTACAGGAATGAAACAAAGAAAACAAAGGGAACAGACATCATGTGCCATGGTGAGATCCAGTGAACCATACCTTTATTGAAGCCATCTTAGTCCGCAAACTCTCTTCTATCTGATCTCTGGCCATGTGAAAAGGTAGATCAAAGACATCCTGCCAAAAAACATAGAATAACAAAGTTACTTAAGAGAAAACTTACTTTTTCCCCTTGGTTCCTTCCTCCACCAACTGTAACAATATTGCAATTTAAGAAAGAAAGACATTTATCACCCTACCATTCTGCCGCCTAATGGGGATTGAGGAGATCCTGCATCCTCTTTTTCATTTGCAGCGGAAGTTTGTTGTGGTAGACCATTTGGAGCATTCAGAAAGTCACGCATATCCATCTAAAGAAAAGTTCAAATAGGCAGTCATTTTTGTCTCAGTTCTGTCAAATAGGGATCAGAAAGAATAGTACATTTCAATGATGATTTTGGAATTATGGTTCAAATACCACTATGACACTTCAAAATACAAGGAAAACCCACTTAAAAGATATTTTATTTGACTAAGATGAATTAGTGTTTTAAAAAAAAAAGAAAACTATCAAAGAAAAACATGGCAACTTGAAATGATCCGTTACGTCATGCTCATGGATTGTAATCTCAAACCAGCTGGTATGGGCATCTGCAACAGTCTGTGTGGACCAGGTCAGATCACTCTGTACCAGACAAGTTTACATAAGATTGCATATACAAGTCTATAAACGGTTGCTTTAGTAACATTTGATTAACTCTTTTATAGATTTGGACCAGTACAATATTATCTATGTTTCTTGAGGATCAGTCAGGATTCGAGATGATGATCACGGGCTACAAATCTTGACCTTCTCTTGTCAAGAAAAAACCCTAGATCTCCATGGTGCTGAAAGGAAAGAAGAAGGGGAAGACAGCAAAGCCATCCTGTATATGATGTTAGAGGAGTGAAAAAAAAAGAATACATAGCCCTCAGGTAATTTTTTTGCCCTGTTTATTTCTTGGCTTCTCCCTTCTTTTTTTCTTCACTGACTTGGACCAGCCATCATCGGTGCATGCACACACACACACACCCCTATACATATATATACACATACATAGTGTGTGTGTGTGTGTGTGTATACACACACATACATGTATAGACACAAACTCTAAATGCTTAAGCACTCTCAATCAAACAGACAATAATCTTATTGTTACAATTTTTAACCTGCATAGAACGTAACAAAGCCCGCAGATCAGAATTCTCTGCCATCAGCTCTTTCTTCTTCACCTCATATGCATCAACCTATAGGTGGTAATCAGAGTGTTAAAATACGAACAGCACGAAACACTTAAACAATTCTTTATAAAAACAACATATTTATGTACATGTGTAAAACAGTGTTTGAGATTTTCCTTACTATCATCTTATAGAAGTCACTGTCAGCCTTCTTACCATTCCATGTCCCACGCTGACGCCCTTCTTTCTGTAACAATGATATTAAGTTCCTTTACATGGGGCAAGTTACATAAGGTGGTGCTGTTTCAAATAATCTGAAACAGCACAATGGTATCAAAGGAAAAGTGAACTACACATTGTGGATACTGGATCAAGAAAGGTTTGACATTAAATCATCTGGCTGGGAGCTAACAATGAATTGTTAGAAAAGATTGGGTATCTTATGCCAACAGAGCAGGGTGAATACTGACATCACATATCACATATCTTTAAACTATTATATACCTGCAATAGATTCATAATTTCCATTCCTGACCGAGACTCCTTCTTTTTCTCCATCAACACTTGGTTTAGTCTCTCCTAGAAAAAAACAAAGCAACAGTCCAAGGCTGAGAAGATGCATTTGGACATATCAATGTGATTAATAATACACTTGCAGAAAAAGAGAAAAAAGGAAAATAAATCAGTACAATGATAATCATTACCTGCAGCTTTATGTATTCCTTTTCCTTCTTTTTCATTTCATGTATTTGTTGTGTACGCACTTGCTTATGAAAGAAAAGGGAGTGATAGATGTCATGGTTGTCCAGCACAAGTGAAAAGAAGACAAAATTAAACATTGTAAATATTAAGATAAAAACATCACTCCCTGAACTAGATGAAAAAGAATACACAAAACATTGTCCAAAGGTAATAACACCTGATTTCCAATGACCATCTTTTGGAACTCATCTCGTTCCTGCTGCAACTTTTCAATCTGAGCTTTCAAATTTGCTGTGTTTTTAGCCTCCTAATAATGGGAAATGACAGATCATTGATAAGACAATGGCTAAAAGAATTGGGAGCTCAATCACATTTGAAAGGTGATATTTAAAAAAAATTCACAAACCGTTCTTGTCAAAGTGGCTAACTCTCGATCTTTTGCAGTTAATTGTGCCTCAAGCCTTTCAACTTTTGCCTCAAATCTCGAAATATCAGATTGCAATCTGCAGCACAGAATAATAAATTATGGAACCGTAGGAATAGCTCATAAAATATTTTTGAACAACTAAATAAACAGTCTTTTGAGAAAAGAACAGAGAGCTACCTCACAGTAATTTCTTGGAGCAATGAGTAAATTACCATATCATGGTAAGATCAAAGCAAACAAAGAAGACCATATAAGAATGCAAACACTTGGAAGAAAATGTTAATTCTTGTGGACATTCAATAGAACAGAATGTGTCAAAAGAAAGAATACTAAACCCAGCATGAGACTGAAACTGAGATTGGAGAGCAACAAAGGTGAACAGCATTACAGCTATACAGCGACATCTTGACAATTACATTCAACTAAGAAAGAAATAATCAAAGATAAAAGTTATCATCCATTGGACAAATCAAGTAAAATTCAAGCACCCAAGGCCACACATACTTGACACCATGCAGGATTCTTTTTAGTCTTTTCAAATTCTGCGTTCATAGATAGAAATCTTAATTTGAACTAACAGTGAAATTGGTACCTAAATGCCAAACCGCACACATTCCAGTTTGTAGTAACTCATAAAATGGTAAAAAAACAAACAGAAACAAGAACCGTTCTTTGTGAACGCATCGCTAAGTATTAAAAGGAACACTTCACTGCGAAATCAAATAAAAACAAGAAAAGAAAACAAATTCACCTTTGCCTTTGATCGTTGGAGGCCTCCCTGAACTCGATGTCCCGCTGTCTCTGTTGAAGCAGAGAATAAATACAGTTACAGGTCCTCGCGATCGAGACCTGGCACCGACATGTCCTTCAAATCATATAAATCGAGCAAATAGACTAACGACGTATAAACAAAAATCGGAAATTATGCAAGTAGGTGAAGAAAGTCGAGTGGAATGAAACCGCACGGGATCTGTGGCAAAGAGATCGAGGGAAGCCGGGAATCCAAACGTCACCAGCGTCTGATTGAGGTACTTGGAACAATGCTCCAGGTTCCCAGCATCCGCGAAGGCGTACTCCCTGCAAGACGGAATCATAACCCTAAGTGAAGCTATCAAGAGAGCAAATGGGCTCCGGCCGCTCAAGGGGGGCGATCGCCTCACCGGATCCCGAATGGGGGCGTTGCAGATGCCTGCATTGGGGGAAATATTAATCATAAATGCCATTAGAAGAAGAAAGCGAAGGAGGAGAAAGGGGATCTCGCATGGATTTTACCCCGATATCGAACTCGGAGTGAGTCCCCGCCATGGTGGAACTCGGGAGCTGCTTCTTCTCGTCGGGAGGAGGGCGAGGCGGAGGGATTTGGACTCCGATCTCGTCGCCGCTGTCCCCAAATTTCAAATTGGGTTGAGAGTCGAAAGCGACGGGGGACGAATGTTAAACAAGGCACGACGCTAACGTGCGTCGCAGGCCGTGCATTGCGCTCGAGAGGAAACGAGATCGGTCCCGAAACGGGGAGATGTGGAGCCGCAGAGGACCCGAGCGGGCGCCGGAGCGAAGTCGGGTTTCGGATCTCCTCATCCCTCGTTGATTTCTTGGGGTTAGCAATTCAATCTCGGATCCGGATCCATGAGCGGATCCGTTTCTCGGAGTCCGCGGTGGCCCCTTTGCCGGAGTAACGAAACAGGGTGGTTTTGACAGTTTCTGTAGACTGTTTCACGCTGCGTTGAGATTGGTGCTTCTGGTTGATGCGGAGAAATTGCATTCTCGTTGAGATGGGTACTTTCCACGTCAATTTCCACTAACGTAAAAATAATAATAACGAGAATTGTCTTTTATGTTATGATTTAATATTGAACAATAAAAAGAAATATGATCCAGGAGAAAAAGTCAAACTTCTTCCTTCGATCCGTAATGAAATCACGCACTCGACACTCCCCCTTCTTCTTCTCCCATCCTCCAATCTAAACCGTTTCCTCCCTTTTTCGTTGGGACACAGCCACCCAAAAATAGGCCGGAAACGGTTCAACCTTTCTCAACCCTCGTCGTGTCTATATCTATCAGCCCGCGTGCTCTTTCACGCTCTCCGACACTGCGCACTGTGTATGACCCGACCATGGCCATGGCTTCCACAGCGTCCGTCTTCTTCCTACTACTGCACTTCCTCCTCCTCGTCTCATCCGCCATCGCCTTCGACGTCACGCGTCTCCTCGCGCAGTTTTCAGACTTCTCAACCTTCAACGATCTTCTCATCCGGACTCAGCTGTCCGCCGACATCAGCACCCGGAAAAGCGTCACCATCCTTGCCGTCCAGAACGGCGCCTTGTCCTCCGAGTCCGGCCAACCCGACGAGGTCATCAAGAAGATCATCGCCCTCCATGTGGTCCTCGACTACTTAGACAGTGAGAAACTCCACCAGCTCTCGTCCCACACCGCCATCCTCACGACGATGTTGCAGGCCTCCGGACGAGCCTCCGGCCTCAGCGGGTTCCTCAACGTCACCGACTTGAAGAACGGGCAGGTCGCGTTCGGCTCCGCGGTGCCGGGCTCGCCCCTGAGCTCCTACTTCGTGAGGGTCATCTTGACGCACCCTTATGACATCTCCGTGGTCCAGATCAGCGGCCTCATCGTTCCTCCCGGGATCAGAGATGGGAGCTCAAACAACAGCAGCGCACCTACGCGGCCGCCAGCTGCGGCCCCGAGGAAGGCGCCGCCTGCTCCATCGACGTGGCCGTCGAAAGCGCCGCCCCCTGGTGCCTCCCCGTCGCACGCGCCAAAGCAGGCGCCGCAAGCTGCAGCCCCGTCGAACGCACCGAAGTTGGCGCCGCATGTTGCAGTCCCGCCGTCGAAAGTTCTGCCAATCCCAATCCCCCGCCGCCGCGCGCCGTCGCAATCTCCGATTCCGTCGGCGGGGCCGAAGGTAGCACCTAGGCGGCCACCCACTCTGGCACCGAGGACGGGGCCTGCTCCGGCAAGTTGGCCGTCAATGGTGTTGCCCCCTGGTGCGTCTCCGTCGAATCCATCAAGGTCGAAGGCGCCTACTCCAGCGAGGTGGCCTTCAATGTTGTTGCCCCCTGGTGCGTCTCCATCGAATCCACCAAGGTCGAAGGCGCCTGCTCCAGCGAGGTGGCCTTCAATGGTGTTGCCCCCTGGTGCGTCTCCATCGAATCCACCAAGGTCGAAGGCGCCTTCCTCGGACGGCGCGCCCGGTGGCCCCATGCCGAGTTCACCGGCCTCTGACGCGCCTGCAGTGTCTCCGCCTTCTCCAGTTGGCGGAGGCACACCACCGGCGGGATATCCAACGGATGCTGGTGGTGTCGCTGGGCCGGATACTGGGAGCGGAGAAAGTCCGGCATCCCATGGCATGGCCGTGGTGCCCAGCGTTGCTGTTGCCATGGGCGCCGTCCTCTTGGCTGTCCTTTCAACGATTCGTAGAAGCTAATAGGAAGGACTTCTCTTGCATGTCTTGTTCTTGGATTCCACGGGTGCATTGGCCCGATGGTCAACCTCCAAACACAGTCTTTGTGTGGAAGACACTTTGTTTGTTTGATGCAAATGACGAGACATAGATTACCTGCAGGTAGAATAATAATAGATTGGATTTTCACTTCCAAACCGAAGGTTATACAGTCTGATTCTTTTCTCTTCTGAGAAGATTAAAATACTCTAAAAAATAAACAGAAAATAACTGTGATCAAGAACATTTCAATCATTGTGGATCAACAACGATCCAATTATTTCCGATTTTGGGAAAGAATTCGTGCATTGAACAGGAAACATCAATGTAGTAGTCAGGAGATAGAAACTTAGATGGTCAAGAATCATAATATACATGAGTTGTCACATGGCAACATAGTCAGTTTCAACAAGCAAATCAAATACCAAACTTAAACAATCTGAATCATCCTATATATATATTTATATATAGTTGACATGCAGGACCAACTAACAAGCAAACAAGTTCACAACATGTAGCCCTTGCCGACGATGACAACAAAGGACTTGAGCTAGTCTTCGAGCTCGACAAGCTGCGCAGCTCTTCTCTCGGCGGCCTTCTTACGGACAAAGATTCCCCACCTCATAGCTGCCTTGATTTTCAGCCACCCAACAACAGCTTTACCAGATGTACGGCTCCGGTCGTCGTCGAAGTTGAAGGCAGGACATGGTGAGGGCATGTACGATGGGAAGGCATATCCATCATCATGAAGGCCAGTGGGTGCTCCCCCCATGGTGAAGACGCGAAGCAGATGCTGCATGTCATCATGCTCGAGCAATTCATGGCTTCGCAAGCGAATCTCGTCCTCCGAGAAGAAGTCATCTATGCCGCGGCTATCCCGTTGGCGGGACCAGTCGTCGTAGGTGCTCAGGTCTGGTTGCTGTACAGTGTGGCCCAATGACTGCAATTCCATGCTTGCCTGCTGTGGTGGGGCTGGTGCCAGACTAGTGCCATCAGTTCTTGTGAATTGGGTCTGGTGTGTGGAGCCAACTAACTGATTCTGTGGAGTAGATGAAGTGCTTTCAGTGGAAATATGGGCATCAGAATCCACATGTTGAGTGAGGTTAGGGTATCTAGCAGACTGCGTTCCGCTATATCCGGCAGATATGGTTCCTCCTGAATAAAAGAAAGCCACAGTTAGACTCCAAGTAAATTCTCTGAAGTTGTCTACAGCTCCAACTAGAAAACAAAAGCCATTATGACGATACTTGTGCTATGGACCGAATTGTCTACTTGTTGCCCAACTAAATTGTTTTGTTTTCAGACATTCATCAAAAGTAGGGAATAAGAAGGCAACTCCAGAAAGTCACAACTTCATCATATCATATAAATAGAATCTTTCTCAAGTATCTTGAAGTAGGTTTAGGGTTCCCAATTAGCAAACTATCCTGTTCAAGCCTCGTCCTACTTAATTGTTTAAGTAAACAATGTATTGCATAACAAGACTAATAAATACTTCAATGATATCAAAGGTTCCTCACCTCCTGTAGTATTTCCCATTTCAGCTGAAAGTTCTGTTGAAGAGGCTGAAGCTTGTGAGTGCATTTGAGAGACTTGCTGATCATATGAAGATGGATAATTTGATGAAGCCAACAGAGATTCCTTTTGCGCAGCAGGTGCTTTCTTGTTTTTTGTAAAGTTCAAGAGGGCCCTACCATCATATTCTATCACTTGCATCCAGTTATCATATGCCTTCTTGACCAATGCATCTGCAAAGACCTACAATGGATAAAGGAAACATGTTCAGCATCAAAGTTTCAATTGAATTACTGGGTAACCAGGTCAGATGTGCATATAGAAGAAGAAAGACCTCCAGGACAGAAGTAGCTAAGTACATATATTTCATCAAACAGACGAAACTACACTTCTCTCATTATTCAACCATGAAATCTGAGTCGACAGAAAAATCCCTTCTTTTTATGCATCAAGTTTGTAATTTTCCTAAACTAAAAGTAGACAAGGTTTCATTCAAGGAATCAAATATCAAATACTGACCTCTGCTCGATCCGGTATGGTACATTGGGATGACACATTATACTACATTATCTAAAAGTTTGTTTCAAGTGTTGGTCCTGTTAGCATTCTTCAAAACAATACAGTTATTGCATACTAATTCCAGTTGCTGATAATTGAGCCAACAAACTAGGTGAATGGCTAAGGACTTAAACTACTTGCTTTAGATTGGAAGGTGAAGAGACCATAAGCTGTACAGAGAAGATGTTATGGGCAATGATTTATTTCAACCTATAATCATAAATTACCCTGCCTAACAATAATTCATCATCTTTTACACAATAAATATCCAGTGAAGCAATAACAGGATCTATTTTGTTAACGGCAACACAGAGCGCCATGAGATCCCAGGATGTTAAACAAAGCAGGAGCTACTGGAACAGTGGATATGACATGGAAGGCTGTCTATTGGTTGTGTCTATCAAGAATTTATATACCAGTCTGATATTGGTTCCAGTAGCATATGGAAGAAGTATGGTACCACCATATCAGATCATTTACCAACTTATATTGCTCATATCATTGAATAAATATTCAACCATGAGTACTCAATTGGATTAGTAAATGCCAACCACAAACATACCATTTTTGCTGGTATTTAAATCCTTAGTTTCTATCAATGAAAGAACTGAGCAACCAAGTTCAAAGCAGTGGCATTGTGTGAAAAATCAATACAATAAGACCTTTAATGATAAAAAAATATTAGATGGAATAATACAAGACAGATAATCCATAAGAACCCAAATATTTTTAGCTTAACAGCCTGATTTTGCTTCATTCCTACAAGAAAATCTCATATAACATAGTTTTGTCAAGATCAGGAGCTTAACTTCCACTGGTGACAACTGTAATCAATAACTGGAACACCACATATTGAAATAGCAAGAAAGAGTGTGTGAATACTACTCACCTTCTGACTGTCATTCAGGCCTTCTGCTGAATAGAATTGCCCACTAGCAATTAGGCCACAGAATTCATAGATGTTGTTAAAGATAGCACCAACATTTCTTGTTTCATCTGAGTAGTATATATAATACTTTCCACTTAAGACACAAGTTTTCGCATGCTCCACAAGGCTCTCCCACATCTTATTGGACATACCACTTCCAAGGATCTATAATGGCATTATACGCATGAAAAACAGTACAAAATAAAGAATTTACCAGGAAAACCATACATCAACACATACATTACGCAATTTTTGGGGATCTCTAACAACAAGCCTGAGGAATTCTTCAACTGTGAAAATTCCACACTTGTTCAACCTCTTGTGAAATGAACCATCCTTCCCAATCTTTTCTAATCTCCAAACCTCATCCTTTAAAGCAGGTGGATAGTGCTTCTTGTATACTAAAATGATATGAAAGAGAAAAACTCTGAGAATTAGTAAGGAAAATAATAATAATAACAATGGCAGTAGGGTCAGACTTACATTCTCCTCTGTGATCCTTAACTGTGAATGCTTCTGTCTTGGCTTCCCGTATACGAACACCCTCGCAGTAGCCCGAGGCAATTTTCAGGCCAAGCCTAAATTTTCTACTTCGAATCCAACTAGAATTGTCAGTAAAAGTAAGCTCTCCAAGGGTACCAACTCCATCTTTCAACGAAATCTGCAGGTCCCCTGTCAAAAGTGGTCTTTTTCCTTCACGCTCTTTGACTACATGGCTCTCAAATTCTTCTTCAGTCCAATTTTCATCATCTTCATTATTAAAATCACCTTCAAGAACCAACACATCCAGTTTGGCGGATGCCTCAGGTCCTGAGCTTACAACATGGCCAGAGTTTGCATCAAAAAGAACAACATGAATTGCAGCTCCCTGTTCCCCTTCCACTCTTCCACCTGTGAAAAGAGGAAGGGACAGCCTTGTCCGGAAATGTAGCTGTAGATTTCTTCCATCAGGCCCTTCAATCCGCTTTGGTGAACTCCTGCAAATGTAACAGGTAGAAAGATTTATCCCCAAAATATGAAATATTCTTCTTTCATCTTCAGGTATTGTATGCTGTTAGCTGCAGTAGTCTTAACTCTCCAGTGGCATTCATTTAAGACCTTTTTCACCAACATTTTCTGGATTCTAGTAGCTTCCAAACTAGAAAGTTTGGTTAAATTAATTGATGGTCAGATTTGATCTTCAGATCATATCACAACCACTCAAGTGGAAATAATAATCTTTTAGATCATATTTCTTGTTGCAGATTCATAAAAACTAATTTCACAGAACAAAAGTTGCAGGCATATGACAATTCTCTAGGAAACTTCAATACCAAAACTAAATGGAAGTACAGAAAAAGTGAAGAAAGTTTAATCCGTGTAATATGAACATTGGTTTCCTACGCTTAGAAAAAAGAGTTTGATGATAACTAGTTGCAATTTGCAAAGGTTCCATTTGGTAGTGTAGTAGATGGTCTAACAATTTTATACCTTCCACCAATCCTTGCAGGACCAAGCCTTGCCAAAGCTCGCTCCACTTCCTCACTGACCTATTTAAGCATAAGATAACATCCGATTAGCAGACAAACAAGCAAAGCAATGTACTTACAGAAATGAGTAAAGATGCAGCATTGTACTTATTAACAGGAAGTGACAGAGTCACAGAAGAACCATGTCCCTTTAAGTGCAGCTGATTAGACATTATCAACATATGTAAGAAAACCAATAGACACTAAGAAAAAATGAAGCCATCAATTTCACATTTTTCCTGCCATTTACTTGTGGGAACTAAATTCACAATTTACTTGGAAACCAAACTGATTGCAAGGAGTAAAAGCTAGAGAACACCGAAAAACAACACGAAGACATCTAAGGTTGATAAAGAAACAACAAATCAAGCAAGAAAGAAAGTGGCAATAGCAAACAAGAGTAGACCTCTCTGGCACAGGACTGAAATAGCCTTTGAATCGATCCAGAATAACATCCCAGTGAAGCAGCATAAACCGCAAAAGGGTCTAAAAATGAAAGAATAGCATGTTCAATTTAATACAATGTCATGAACTAGAACTCCTTCCCAGATGAAGTTAAAAAAAATTAAAGTCCACAAAAGGATATTACTAGTAATGTCTATCAGGTAGGTGTTAAGAAACCTCATCTGGAAATTCAGGTGGGATACTAACATCACCTATCTGATGGATATATGATATGCAAACTTCATTACTGTAATGTCCCAGTATCCATGATCCAGAAAGCTCTTGTAATGATGAAAATAGTAGTTCAAATTGCCAAATGTAAATGACACAGGTATGGATACTTTCAAGAAATCTGTCATGAAACAGGATATTTGTCTTACAACTCTACGAAGGATGGGCTCCAATGATGAACAGATTTTCTGCAGACTATCCACTTTCAAGGCTTCAACAATCACACTGCAAAGTGCAAAGAAAATAAAACACTGAATAGAACATGAAATACATAAGAAGATAAACAGGCGTTTTTTGTTTCAACTTTGTCCTTAAAGAATAGTATGCTCAAATCATAGATATCAAACAATAAGCCAGAAAATAATTTAGAAATAATGTTTGCATAGGACATATTTATGCAGTGACACATCTCAAAGGCTAGAACTAGGTTTTTTAAATCTTTTTTTCAGCCACTTGCTCCTGCTGTCAGAATCGAAGCTATTCTGATAAGAATAACAGCAAACAATAACACGAGTTTTTCTCTCGATTTCAGGTAGAATATAAATATAAGAAGTGATACAAAACAATAGGATAGCAAAATGTTAAGATCTATACAACATCCAGATACCTAATTCATTGAGGTAGTTAATTTCCTTCTGGATATTACTCCTCAAGTTGATATTTGTGGATAGTAGATATATGAATTTAATTGTGTGCCTAATTAACTTCCAAATGTCACTCCATAAGCCTTTGAGGATAAATGGGTGCCTTGGAAACCCCAGATTCACTGGTGTTTCTAGATAAAATTTCCCACCGGCTGCAGCATACCACAATTTTTTTTCTGCTGCTGCTTTGCAAAATTCCATTCATGCAGATTAAACTCTGTAAGACTTTTCTACTATTTTTTAATGACCCGACAAGTCACTTCGAATTAGACAGAAATCAAAGGAACCAGGTAAAGCTATGATTCAACCATCATATGGCAAGCAAAATAAAAGATATCACAAAAAATTTTCCCCAGGGGAAAAAGGGCTAAACCATCTTCCGGATAAACAAACTCCAAGTCGGTTTCCTTTTGGTTCGAGGTTCTAAGATCTTCACCTCGCAAGAGCCGGGACCTTAGGCCGCTTGGGCTCGGGTTGCAGCTCGTCCCCGTCACCGGTATCCATCCCCCGCTTCTCCCCCGGCATCGCACTCGTCCCCTGCCGTTCATACCTCCCGGGCCGCTGCATTCCGCGATCCAAACCCTAGATCCCTGAGATCTGAAGCAAACCCCCCAAACCAAAACCGGATCTTTCCTGAACAAGGTAAAAAAGCAGACATCGGGAACTAAAAAAAGCTACGATCTTAGGTACCCGAAGCGGAAGAATCCGTATCTTTCCGGCCAGAAACGGTCCGAAATATCCCAAAAGACAAACAGTCGCCGAGAATCTACGGAGACTCCAAAAAAACGAGGAAAGGCGAGCTACTGCGAACCTTCCCGCTTTCTTCGTGACGAAATCGCGATACCGCCCGCCAGGGAGATCGGAATCAACGGAAGCCACAGAGAGGAGGCGGATTTTGAGCGCCGCAATGGGACGGCTCCAAGTCCAATTGTTGGGAGTAGAGTCTTGGTTCGTGTTCGCTTAGCTTTAATGTGTGTGTCTCCTCTCTCTCTCTCTCTTCGCGAAGGCTAAATATATATTATATTGGATAAAGAAGGGATATCCCGTCGTCGATACGCTGTTTGCTGGATCGCGCTGGGCAGCCCATCCGGGCGTCAGTAGGTAGAAAAGCCGAGGCCCGGTGAAGCGCGTGGCGGTTCTTAACTGTTCATAATCTCTTTTCTCCTCGACGTACCCGCTTTGTCACCTGCTCACTTATTGGGGGATTCGTGGCATCTTCGTGGGTCCCGCATCTCATCGCTGGGGAGTACGTAAGTTGGAAAAGTGAACGTTGAAAAGGTGTCACGTTGCCTCCGTGGGCCCCACCGGTGCGTTCGAGGCGGGTATCCTGCGGGTAAAGAAGCGGGTCGACATGGCGAAGTGCTCGTTGCGCCATCACCACATCCGTTAACGTTCAAACCCACGGATCGTAATCCCTTTTCTTCTGTGAATACCCGACTTCCTTACCTGCTCACTTATCGCGCGCTTCGTGGCATCTTCGTGGGTCCCACATCCATCGCTGGGACGGCAGGTAGGTGGGAAGAGTGACGTCGAGAAGAGATCGCGCTGCCTCGGTGGTCCCCACCCCAGCTTTGGAGGCGGGTATCCGGCGGGTACAGCAACGAAGTACAGTTTGCGCCATCCGCTAAACCGACGGTTCGTGATCGAACACTATCGATCGACGCATCATGTGCGAGCCGTTCGTTGTTCGCAGGCGCACGGCAATTAAAGCTTTCTTTTTGTCGAGCGTGTGTGTATTTTAGGGTATTAATAATTAGAAGTTGTTCTAACATAGGAAGCTATTTGAGCATAAATTATATAGCATTATACATAATAAGCTCAAGATCGTGACCCGCTTGCACTGCGATGGCGAAGAAATAGAAATAGATTAGTAGCATATTGCAGAAGAAATATATTAACAGGAGTGTCAGAGAAGCATGTGGATTTGCACGTGGACTCTGCGATCGTATTGTTATTATTATTCTCTCTGCACGCATTTTGATGGAGGGCTGTGGCTCATTCACTCACCCATCACCAACTCCAAAGAACACTCTTCTTTCTGTAAGAGAGTATTTAATTGATTCGGTCGGTGTGTTTCTCTTCATTGCTGTCTTGTGTTCTCATGCTACTTTCAATCGATTCTTTTCAGAGGTCGTATATGAAGCATTGTATTCATATCGGCAAACTGGCCAATACTTTTCTGATATAGATTTAATAAGTTAATAGATCAATTGTCCCGTACGATCATATATGTATGTATATATGTATATATATATATATATATATATATATATAGAGAGAGAGAGAGAGAGAAGAAACTCTTCATATTCCATTAATCGCTCATTTTTGCAGCGATGTTGATATAATAGTAATATTGCTTCCTTCTGCCTCTTTCAAGAACAGCAGTCCCAGCCTTAATAGCTCTTACAGTAGCAAACAGTCAAAACACCTGTTCATAAGATCCCATATCATGCCACCTTGGATCGTACTGCTGAAAACCTATTTAAAAGAACTCAAACAACACAAGATTATCATTATTTGAACTGGTCCCATGACAACTTTAAGCATCTTGGTTGATGACCTAACTGATGTTTATCCTGGAACTGAGAAGCTAATTCATGATCATGCATGTATCCGAATAATATAGCTTGGAAGCAGTACCAAATGACCAGTTTCACAATTATGATACACATTAATTATGCTACTGTTCTAGCTCAACAAGCTTAGCTTTTCTCCTGTCAGCAGCCTTCTTGCGGATGAAAAGTGCCCATCTTATAGCTGCAGCGATCTTAGTGATCTTAAGCCACCCAACAGCTCTACCGGATGTGCTGTTCTGATAATGGTCCAAGTTGAATTCAGGCGACCACAAAGGCGTGCACGATGAGAAGTCAAATCCACCATGGAGGCTTGTGGAAGCTCCACCCGTGCAGATATCATCAAGTGAATGAAATATGTCCTCGAACAATGGCTGGCTTATCGAGCGAATAAAATCTGGGAAGTCATCTGTAGAGTGGGCATCCGGTTGAGGCCAGTCGTGGTTGATACTTGCATCTGGACGTTGTTCAGTCTGGTTGAATGGCTGAAGACCAGTGTTGTCTTCTGTGGAAACACCTTCTGAACGACGAGGAAAATAAAGTCATAGTCAAGTCTGTAAAGTTGCACACTTCATTTGAAGTCCCCGAAAGGCAGGGAAGAAGTTGAGAGATACATAAAAGGCCAAAAAGGGAAATGTTCTGCAGTATTTTGATACTTAAGTTCAAGGTCAACCAATATGGCTGTAAGCAATTATACTATGAATATTTTAGTCATCTGGTACTTAAGTGACGTTGAAAGGCTCACCTGCTACTGCATCTCTGATAACTGGACACTGCTCTGGATTAGGAATCTGAGAGACTTGCAGATCATATGAAGAAGAACAATCTGCTGAAGGCAACAGAGGTTCTTTTTGTGAAGCAGACGCCGTCTCACTTTCTGTAACCTTTAGAAGGTCTTTACCATCATATATGATAACAGCTGCCCAATTGTCATATGCCTTCTTGACCAACTTATCTGCCAAATCCTGAAATGGATAAAGGACATATGCCATCATTCTCTCAGCTTATATTGATAATTTAATTAAATTTTGATGTACTTCTTGTGAAAAAAAAAAGAAAAAAACCAGCAGAACAGGAGGAGCTAATTTATGGCATTTTCCTCCATCTAAGAAGGGTACGGTAGCTCATCATTTATTTTTAGGGATGTAAAAAACACTGTTTAGATAAGTCAAAAATGTCAAACCTCCCTCTAATGGCAAACATCAAGTTTTTATATTTCATTAGTTCCATTTGGCATTTGCTTGGAATGGCCAATTTACATTCATTACCATGGACCATGGAGGATTTACATGTTTATATTTTGCATCTCCAATGAGATTTCAGCAATACTGCTTCTTAACATCTATTTCCACTTGTTTAATAAGAGATTATTAATGTATTAGACAGTGGTCTAAGGACTTGTAGGATCTACCTAAAAGGAAAATGAAACAACCATAAACAACCAGGAGAAAATGTGCAAGCAGAAGATGGCAGTTATATTTCAGCCTATATCAGCTTAAACTAGTCTGCTGAACACTCGCTATCCTCTACAGAATAAATATGTAGCGAACCACAACGCCACCATTAAAATATACTTGTTCCTTCAAGGTTTGGGGTGGTTCAGTGCATGAGGCCCCTGCCAAATAGGAGGGTCAATGTATGCAGCCAGTTAAACTCATTTCTCTAAGGCTTAATTAATTTAATGATACATGATCTAGTTTGGCAATATTACTTACAATGTTTTATCAAATGTGAGACTCCAAGGTTTAAATAAACTACTTCAAGAAGTGTGACTCATATGACGTAGAAGACCTAGGATAATTTATTGGTAGATTGGGGAGTTGTGCAAACAAGTTTAAAGCAGTAGCATTTCTGTAACAACCAAAATAGTATCCCTATGAAACAAATTTTTACCAAACTATTACAAATAGTACATATGATGAAAACGGATAGTCATAGAAACTGATTTTTCTTCAATCTCACATGAAAATGTCAAATACCAGGACACAGATTATTTGAGATTAACATCAGTAGCTGTCATGAACAGTAATTGAAATACCACAAGCAATGATATATAACAGCAAGATAAGATGTGCAGATACACTTCACCTTCTGACGACCATCGATAAGGCATTCTGTTGATTTGAACTGCCCCCCATCAATTAGGCCACAAAACACATATCTATCATTGAAAACAGCACCAACATTTCTTGTCTCATCCAAATAGCATACATGATATTTTCCACCTAAAACAGAAGTGTTTGCATGCTCCACAAGTTTTCTCCACATCTTATCTGACATACTGCTTCCAAGCATCTAGAATCACATGACGAATGCATTAGACAAAAAGACAAAATAAAAAAGAAAGTACTGAAGAAACCATATGTCAAAACTTACATCACGCAGTCCTTGTGCATCTCTAGCAACAAACTTTAGGAAATCTTCAACAGTTCGAATTCCACTTGTATTCAACTTATTGTGAAATGAACCATCCTTAGCAATGTTTTCCAATCTCCAAATTTCATCTCCTAAAGCAGGAGGATGGTGTTTCTTGTGTACTATAAAAATGTTTGAGGAATAAAAAATATATGTATCCAAATGAAAAGGAAATCAACAAAGACAAAGGGTGGCAGGCGTACATTGACCTCTGCGTTCCTTAACCATGAATGCTTCTGTCTTTGCTTCGCGTACACGAGTACCCTTGCAGCAGCCTGCGGCAATCTTCAAGGCAAGCCTGAATGTTCTACTCCGGATCCAACAAGAATTATCAGTAAAGTTAAGCTTTCCGAGGGTACCCACACCTTCTTTCAGAGAAACCTGCAAGTCTCCTGTCAGAAGTGGTCTCTTTCCTTTGCGTTCTTTGACTATATGCCTCTTAAATTCATCTTCTGTCCAATTATCATTATCTTCAAAGTTAAAATCACCATCAAGAACTAAAACATCTAATTTTGCAGATGCCTCAGGTCCTGAGTTCACAACACAGCCAGTGTTTGCATCAACCAAAACTATATGAATAATTGCTCCATCCTCCCCTTCTATTTCTCCTCCAGTAATAATAGGAAGGGATAGCCTAGTGGTGAAATGGAGCTGCAGATTTCTTCCATCAGGCCCTTCGATTTGTTTGGGCAAACACCTACATTTTTCATTTGTAATATATAATTCTGGAACATTATAGAGAATATTCCGCTAGCCGAGAACATGATTTTTCTACCCTAGTAACAGACACTGCAAGTGACCTATTAATTTCATCTAAAATATGACATACTACCAATCATAGTTTCCATTAATAAAGACCAAGGTGAGGAATGAGCAACACATTGCACAAAACTCTCTCATAAGAAAAGCTCATACAATGATAAACTTAGTTTAAGCTAGTATTGATAATAAGATACTAGTGATAAGACTCTGAAATCAGCTTGAGAAAATATGATTCCAAATATTACAGAAGTTATAAGTGCATTGGCATTTTTACAGCAGTATTTGAAGATGATGCTACCGTTGTCAAATAATGACTGATCAATTAAAAAGGAAATGCTTTCAGAAGTATACAATTAGGTAGTTCAGAACATAATAGAAGCCCTCAGGTGCCAATCTTGGAGTACTATAGTAGTTTGACATGGATGAGTGCTCCCTAGTTATCACCAATCACATATTTCTCAACTCAAGGGGTAGCAAGCTTAATGACAATGTTAGAATAAACATAGCTCGGATGTACATTTAATTTAGTTAGCAGCTCATTACTGATTCTAGAAGTAATACTGATGCCATAATTGATAATCATGAAGACTTGATATCACTTGCCACTAAATATTTGTTTGATTGCTTCGATGATTGACTAAAGCTGTTGAAAGTTGAAACATATTTTTCTACTTTAAATTGGAGATCAAATTACTTTGAAGAATAATGTAAGACAATGGTAAATTCAGACATGAATCTGACCGAGTATGTAGCAAATACACTCAGACATGCTGCCTCGAATGCCCAGAAGCAGCTAGAATCTGTGTCTTTGAGATGGTTCTAGGTAAGTGAAGCAGCATAACCATATTGGTCTTTTAGATGGTGTGTGTGTGTGTGTATACCTAAGCTAGCCAATACTTTTGACTAATTCTTGATTATTTTTATTTTAATCTATTATGTATTTATTATTAATCATCATTTAGCATACAGTCCCTTAAGACATCAGCCAACTTGAATTGTTGTGACTTTTCTCTAGGATCATCAACTCATATAGTTATTGAATTTGTAGGAAATTGTACCTCAGAATTAGAAAGCCAGGTTAAAAAGAAAAATAGATACTCTAAACAAAAGTGCACTTCACTTATTTAGGAAATACTTATATCCAATTTTGGTTTACAATTTTCATGATAAATCTTGCTAAGGATCCACCTTCATTTATATGAAAAAGGGCAAACCAAGAAAACAACTCCAAAAGTACAACTTCAGATAAACAAGCTAATTAAAGTCGTAAAATCTCTCATTTGTGGATTTGCTAAGCTCTAGTAGATGGTACCAAACAATGAACAACTGATAAACTTCAGCCACCAAACTTTTGCTTGAGTGGATAAATGTCCCTTCCAAAAGTATACATCATAATGAAATTATCCCACATATTCTTTAGTTTAACATTCTAAATTCCACTTCCTCTCAACATCACAAATAGATTGTGGCATTAATCATTTTAGCGGCAGACAAGTGTATCATGTGGTCTATAAGTCATGTCCCACTTAGAATGAGTGTTTCTTCCATATTTTCAAAATCCAATAGCTTTTGAACAACAAATTTTTTGTTGAATCATTTGAAAGCGTGGTTTAAGCTTAAAAAAATACAAGTACAACCCAATGCAACTTCTCACAATGTCCAACCATAAGTCTCTGTTTTGTATTTATTAAACCTAGTTCAAAGTAGGCAGACACGCCATTTATAATATAACCTCTATTTAAAACATTTAGTAGAAGAGAAAAGATTGTATTTATGTAAAACTATGGTCAGTTATCTACACCAACTAATAGCAAAGGTTCCATTAGATCAATATAGTATGCCATCTGTACCTTTCCCCATTCCTAACAGCACCCAACTTTGCTAGAGCTCGCTCCACTTCTTCGCTGACCTATTAAAACATGATAAGCCAGCATCAGATTCGTGGTTAAATAAGAAATGAATCATATTACCGATAAAAATTTAGGCCACTTAAAAGAGGCAGTGACAAAAGATATGTGTCCCCTTTCTTACAGTTAATTTGTGTTTCCTACAATACTCAAGATTAAATAACAGATAAATTATCAGACACAAGGCAATAAGGTACACATTTCTCTTTGAAAAGTGTTGCACAAATAGATATTTTGCTTTCTTGGAGGCAAGCTTTTTATTAACATCAATTGTAATTTAATATTTAACTTAACTAAATATTTAATTGATTCCATTAAATGCAAACGACCAAGAAAAAATGAATCACATAAGTTATCTAATGCTAACAACAGAAATACCAAAACCAGTTAGCAGTAAATAGGAAGATGGAATGCTTGCTTTAAGTTTAGAAAAGAATATTATCACTATAACTATATGGCATAAACCTTATTTGTAAGTTCCAAAAGGAAACTAGTAGGAATTTAAAATATAGTAATAATATGAGGGAAACAAAGAATGCCAATAAAATGCTAATTTCACCAAGAATATTTCCCGGTAACTATGGTGCAGGAAAAGCCCTTGTGGTGATAAATTTGCTAACTTAGATCACCAATTATAGAATACTTCACATTAAATATGGTTTCAAGAAATCTGACATGAAATAAGCATATGTCATACAACTATACGAATGATGGGCTCCAGTGATGAACAAATTCTCTGCAGACCATCCATTTGCAAGGCTTCGATGATTACTCTGCAAAGTGCACAAAACTTTGAACACAACATGTAATCAAAAATAATAAAAAAAACAAGCATCTGTCGGTCAATTAACTTATATAGCTGAATAATCCAAAGAGATAGACAGACTGGCTATTAATATTTGTGAACAACATAAATATGCTTTGATATATGTTCAAAGGGTAACAATGGATTTTAAAAGTGAATAAAAACTCATATGAAAATTCTAAAAGTTTAATGACAAGAAAAAACGTTCTGAAATAGCTGAATAATCAAAAGAGATAGATAGATCAGATATTAATATTTGTGAACAACATATAAATGCTTTGATATACGTTCAAAGGGGAAAAATGGATTAAAATTTTCCAAGCATTTTTTTTGTTTGTTTAAAGATCTATTCTCCATAGACTATAGAGAAAGCCAAGCTGTCTTTTCTTTGTATTATTGAACGACGGGCTCTCTCGTCTTAAAGCAGGAAAACCAACTTCATCTAATTACACAATTAATCAATGTTCAGCCCCTTGCTGATGAGTTCGAGACCCTGGAATAGTAACATGTCCAATCTCTGACACAAATTGATGGAACTAGTTTGGCATGATTGACATTTAAGGGTAAAAAACTTCAACTGGTCACATCAAATTTTCTCTCTTCCAAAAAGAATGAGAATGCGAAGGATGCACGAGCAAGAAAAGAGTAGCTCGCAGCAGCAAGGAAGAGACTCTGATCTTCTCAGCTAAAAGATACCAACTTCAAAGAATTTTTTGGATGTCCTTCCCCTAGCTCGCAGCTAAAGGATCGCTCAGAACATTCAACCTGAATCACATAGAATTCCCTACCAAATGCAACATTTTAGTGGTCCAAGAACTTGCAGATCTTTTGGGAAGTAAGAAATCATGCTCAAACTATCACAAAACATGCCAAGAATCACAACGTTTCCCTGAAGAAACAGAAAAAAAAAATAGCACTTTTTTCATGTTGCCGATAATTTTACCTCGCAAGTGCGGGGACCTTAAGCCGCTTGTTCTCGGGGTGCAAATCGTCCTTCTCGCTGGTATCCGAACCCAATCCCCGTTTATCCCTCGTCATCTATCCCTGCCAAATCAGAACTATTACAAGCCTTTGGCTCTTCCTTATGGGGAGAGAGAGACGAGAGCCGAGAGGAGAGTGGGATAGAATGGAACGGACGGCGAGTGAGAGAAAAGGGCGAAGGGGGTTGACGTTGACCGATTTATCATCTGGATGCGACGATTCCAGCCCGCCCTTGACGACTTCCTGGAATCCTGAACGTGTTAAAAGCATGAGAGCCTCAGCGTCGATTGCAACACCAAGAGTTGACTGGATCGAGTTACCGGGTCTCCGTCGTCTTTGTCTCGGTGAGCACACAGGCCAGGCAGAGAAGACAACATCTACGTGTCTCATCATGACAACATCTACCCAACTCGTACCTTGCTACGAATGACATTGGCTTCTCATCATGGCGTTGTCTGCGGTCGAACACAAGGTAGGCACGGCTCGAAGAGACGATGGCGACATCGTGGAGGCCGAGCGGGGACAGAGTGGACGCGAACACAAAGGACAGGCTCCACCAACAGCCATCTTCGCCCGTGTTCAACCCGGTCCTGCCCCAAGCAGTCGCCGCTAAAGAAGATAAGCAGGCATGGAAATCACCTGTGTATCGATGTATCAGATTGTTAGCATGGATTACGAAGACCAAAGGGACACAAATTGCCTGTAGAAATCAGATTCCAGTTCTATCTATGATCACCAAGAAACGAACAAAATTGGTTGTCGAATGGAGCACCTGTCATTAAAGATTCATATACGATTTTTATTACTGACGTTTTAATCAACATGGTCATAACCCGAGTATAGAAACATCTTTAATGAATAAATATCATACTTCTAAGATATCTTAAAATAGCTCGAGATGGATTCGAAATGATTTTGAAATGGTCTTCAATCCACGAAGATCAAGGCGAGGAGTGTTTTCCAACTAACGCTAAGTTAGCAAAATTAAAGTTTTCAAATGTCAGCTAGAATAATTTTCCTCAAGCAGTTGTCTTTTTTCTTGTTTATGATATTTTTTATACTTTTGAATAAAGAAATTTTTAATAATAAAATTCTTTTTATGAAAGAGAAAAAACTTGTGTTTCTATTTTATATCATAATAAATTAGAAGGAAGTTTATGTTCTCTGCTATCGGTCACCTTACACGTAGATAGATAAAAAAATGATGTAAATCTTAAGTGACGATCCATGTCAACTATTAATAAATTTTCTATCATCACTCATAAGATATAAAACATTATAATGATATTTAAATCAATATTTATAATCTACTCCGTAAAGTTTTTAGCAACGACCACGGTATGCAGTACTGAATGGTACCATTCGGTATGGACGGTACGTACCAATCCGACGACATATCGGTATGCAGTCCGATACCATTATAGTGCAACAGTATAACACTGTAGTAATGCTATAGTGCTATAGTAATGAAAAAAATATATAAAATTATTCGGTACAGGATATATCGTTCGGTACATCGGTACCGTACCGAGTCAACCTCGAAACACCGGTACAATACGATATTGCACGGTGATGCCCTCCCACCATCTTAGGTTAAATGATTTTGAGGTTAATATGTATAAAAATATATTAAATATAAGTTAAAATTTTATGGATACTAATCATAGTTATAATTAAAACATTACTTAATAAGATTTGAAGTATTTAATAAAATAAAATAATTTACGGAAAATACAAAAAAAGATACCATATTAAAAAATCCCTAAATAGGGGACCTTTGTGAGAAATCGCCTCAGCTGCTAATTTAACTATCTCATGTTATTTATCCATCTATATCTATATAAAGAAATTAAAATACGAGATTCTTCTTCGTGCGTTGAGGTCGAGAGAAGACCATCGAAGAAGGAAACGACGATGATGTCGCTGCTCTCCTCGTCCGCCGCTACACGGCCCATTCGTCGCCACTTCGACCGCCGCCGCCTCCTCTCTTCCCCGATCCATCTGTACCGCCGCTTGATCCTCCCATATCCGAAACCTAATGCCACCTGTTCTGCGTCTTGGAGAGAGCTGGGGGCTCTTCCCTTCCTCTGCGACCCGCAGATCCGGCCGTCTCTCGAGGTTGCTGGCTTCGCCGGCGCTAGCCCCGCCGCCTTCCGCTTCTGCCAGCAGGAGCCCCTGGCCCTCGATGCGGCTTCTCTGGCCGTGAAGGAGTGCGAGTCGGATGACGAGCTCCTTGCGGCCGTCCGCCTCCGGGTTCGCACCTTCTACGACGAGTTTGACCAGTCATCTGGTGACCAGGTGAGCATTTCCGAAATCTCTGGATCTTCGCCCCTGTGATTCCTTCGATCTATTTCTTGATGGTCGTCGCCAAATTTATAGTCAATTGGGTTTTGCTGCTTGATATCCTCGACCATTAGTTAGTTGGTCTCTGAATTTGGCATTTCATAGGGCTTGAACTTAGGATTTCCAAGGGAGAAAAACAAGTCCAAGTAATCCTCTTTAATTGTTCGGCAAAGTGCAGGTTTCGTAGCTCATGTGTGTGATACTGATGGTATTTATTCGTTTTCAAGTTCTGTTAGGATCAGAGGAGGCATCTGGAAGAGAGGGAGTTTGAAGCATTGAAGGATCGCATTGATGGGAAAAGGATTGGATTCAAAAGAGTTTCTTGCATAAATGCCACACTGCCGTTATCACCATTGTTAGGCCATGCCGATGGCCTTTGCTCTGCATGTACGGTATGATGATCTTTTTATGAACTATAATTTACAACTGCTGTCGTAAACTAAAATTTTGGCATCTTTATTATGTTGGTGCCTATGAATTCAGGGGAGTATCGCATATGTATCAAGAACATATTGCACTATTGTTTCTATACACGCAATTAGTACAGAACAGGAGCTTATTCTTGCTCCTTGTTTCAATGTATCACATAGGACCTTTGCAATAAAAAGTGCTTTTTCAATATCCACAAATACTTTCTCAATGATCTGTTATCATTAATCAGGTAATCTTGTTGTGTATTTTAAGAGCTTATAAGTGCATATAATGCATGTGCTAGTAAATTGATTTGCAGTTCTGCCCCCTCATCCTTTTGTATGGTTTACTCCTCCTCGCTTCTAAGTAATATTTTAAAAAGTGCTCAAGATTTGTACTAAGATACTTACAATAAATATTCAATTTAGTATAAATAAATGCGCAATCAAGTATAAAGTACCTATAGGTGAAATTCTACTAAAATTAAAATAAAAAAGTATTTATTAAAGCATATCAAAGAAAAATGCAGGAGGAATGTTCCCCATAAACGTCGGGTCAATCCAAGGCATTGGCTTAGCATATTATAATTGTTTGTAATTATGAAAAGAACGTCTCTGATTAACAAGGTCTTAGATGGTCAACTCATCATGATTTGTTGACTCATAGATTTGACTGATTTTTAAGCCCTTGTGGTGCATGTTATGCTAACTATGAAGTGGCAAATTTGACAACCAACAAATGAAATCCCACTTCACCAATCCCAAACTGACCCTTTTAAGGTGGCACATTCAGTTCATGGTTGGGCTTTGGTCTAGAAATCTTTATCTGTTGGCTGGTTGGTCCAGTTCAAGCCAAGTGTTTTTCTGTGACAACAAGGTGAAAGTCCACCTGATATGATTCCACTTGAGTTATTTGTCTGAGAACACAATGGAAAACATGTCCTTAATCACGAACCCAAATTGATCCAACCTGTTTCAACTCAACCTAACAAATTACTTATGTTTGTTAGGTCCCAACCAGACTTGAACCAACTTATTGACAGTCCGGCTGGTCGGCATGGGCACCACATGCACCTTAGTTTTTGCATGGACGTATTAGTTCAGGTTTCTCCCTCAAGTTTTTGGCATGGTGCTAACTAGTTAAACTGCAATGATTTTTTATGCCCTCAAAATTATGTTCAGAACTATAATGTTTTTTAAATAAAGGTATGTGAACTGCAGCCAAGATGCTAAACTTAGCAGGTCTATGAAACAATGCTGTTGAAACTCAAGTCAATCATGCAAGCAATTATTGTCATAATGAGTTATTGTATTTGTCCTTCACGCAATGCAATCCCTCCAACAGGAGAAAGCACTTCTGTTTCATTCTATTCTGATCACTGGTCACACCTTACTGGAAGCGAAATTTGACATGTGATCTTTATAGGTTTTCCAGTTTTTTCGGTTGATGTAATAGTGTCTTGATCAATGAAGAATCACGTAGGCATAATCATAATTTTTTTGAGATTTGGGCCTTAGTTTGCCCTTATCACTTTTATTTGAGGTTCTGTCTTGGTAGTTCACATACATTTTCATTTTAAGTTGTTATTCTCTAATATGAACAGCATTTTCTGAGTCAATGGAACTTGATATAGGTGACAGTTAGATTATTGATGAGGTTGCATTTCTCAACTGCCACTATAGCAGGTATTTCAAGTTCCGTATGATTAAGCCATATAAATTCATTTTTGAATTGTGATTATTACGAGGAGAAGGAAGAGTTGGAAATAGCTCTGTTTCAGTTAAACGAGTGTCCTGTTATAGATAATGAATTGCAATTGCAAGTTATTTGGACTTTTCACCTTTTAAACAGCCCTTCAAATTTGGGTTATGTCCAATCACTCTGCATAAGGTGAATGTTTTGTTTAGTTCTAGGCCATTTTACTTTTCCCTACTTAAGTTGTTGTCTGAAAGATCATTTCTCTAAGGTATGGATTACTGAGGTAGACTAATGAGGATCTGATTACTTGTTTATATGCTAGACAATTTTAGGTTTTAATACTTCCAACATGTGTCATCAAGGTTTCCTGTTTCTATCTTTCTTGATTTGACTAATGGATCTTTCACTGTTTACATTCTCATAATTTACGAATACAAGATTTTCTTAGAATAGAAAAGTAAAGGAAAGTAGTTTTTAGTTAGTTATTTTTTAGTGAAAATATGTCGAGCATTTATAAGGTGTCTCACTTGTGCTTTATGAATATGCAGTTTTCTCAAAATGGAGAAGATCGAGTAGTTGTGGCGACCCTAGATATCAACCAATGTCTCAAATTAGCTGATGAGTTGACAGGAAAGAGGCCTGAGGTATGGTCTACATATAGCGTATTTCGATGGTGAATTGATTCTTGATTGTTGTAAAAAAAAAGTGTTTTGGTTGACCTTATCTACTGGGATTCTTTCAGTCTGAATGGGTAATGGTTGCCATTTTGTTCTCTAGCTACCTATAATGACAGTTTTTGCCGTGTTAATTGTGCATGGAATCTGTTGATGAATCTTCAATAATATGCACATGGATGGAATTGGTTAGAATGCAGTTATGTTGCATGATGCCTGATACATTTGTGTTGGTGGGCTAAAGATTCCACAGAGAAAGCTATCTGTGGGACAAATATTTCATCACAGTTCATAAATTTAGCTAATTTTGCAAGAGCAGTTGCTGATGTTGGATGCTGAAAAGTGTAAAATATTATATGATCCATATGACTGCTCAAAACAAAAAGCAATAACCTTTAAGCAGATTACCTTGTTTACCTCAAATTTCACAAGCAGGTTCAATTTCAAGCTACTAATGTTTTTTTCTCAAAGGTACAGTTTGTCTGCTGTGTGCTCTCATTTAGTTCATGATTGGTCAATTGTTTAAGACCACTTGCTTCTCATTTGTAATTGGTTTAAACAATTGTTCCTAATTTGTTATTGATTACATGATCATAAACTTGAGCAACAATGAATCCTTTGTATGCTTTTCCAAACTTATATTTGTGTCTAGGTTTATCAATTTATTATTGATTGCTTTAGTTAGTATTCCATTGCTTCATATTTGTTCTTTTGAAGAAACTTGATATTAATTTATTCATCACAATTAAGCAACTTTTACAGGTACTGGGAGCTGGTCTCATGAGGGCATATTTAAGTAATGTCTGTGTTGCCAAGGAGCTGCAAAGAAATGGTTTGGGATTTGCAATAGTCTCCAAATCGAAAGCAGTTGCTCGCCGTTGGGGTAATCGTCTCTTCTTCGAGTCATTAATATGAATATTTATCCTTCTTTGCATAATTGTGTTTTGAAAATAATTAACTTGTTGATCATTATGTGGTGAAATACATTCTCACTAAGACATAAAGAAGGTTAATCAACATCAATGAGAAGTTAGGAAGATTTTTGGTTGTTCATAAGCAGATTTTATCGAGTATACCAAACCAGTTTGGTTTTTATCATCTTAGACATGTTATGGTCAGCAAATGATTGAGCTTACATATGGAATCAAAGGTCTGAAGGCCATGAAAGAGACGAGGATTTTTTTTTGTTTTATTAGAATAATAATCTAAAATGGTGACCCATTATTCTTCTGGACATGAACCCACTAACACTGCCTTAGAAAATTGTTTTATGCTTGTGATTTGTCCACCTGAGACTCGCAAGCACGAGTACTACATATGATGCAGCCTAATCAGACAACTCCCTTTACTTTTGAATTCACCCAATATCAAAATTTATTTACGCTGTGTTTTTTTGTATCAGGTATAAATGATCTTTACGTACATGTTGCTGTTGACAACGAAGCAGCACTAAAGCTGTACGGAAAGAGTGGCTTTGTTTACGAAAATGAAGAGCCAGCTTGGCAAGCCAGATTTCTCGGCAGGCCTCGCCGGTTTCTTCTCTGGGCCGATCTTAGCCAAATCGAACTTGTAGTATAATGCAAGTTCTCTAATATACAGTATCTGACAATTGCAAACATGTTAGTCCCGATTTGTCCCAAAGCTTATAGGTTCGGATTATATTTCATGTTTTCTGAATCATGTAAAACAATACTGGTTCTGTAATGTTAATTTCATGAAGCCAATGTGTAGATAATACAATTGGATAGCTCAAATTGCAGCATTTATTAGAATCTTCAGACCTTTTGTATGTGTTAGTGCTTTTGAGGTTTTCGTTGAGAGTCGCTAAGATGTCATATGTGGACTCAAACCCTCGGCTTAAACTAAGATGATGAGACCGGCCCAAGAAAGCTAGGTCCGGTCCATTTCCAGAATGTTCCGGTCTCTGTCCCTGCATATGCAGCGAATCGATGCTCCTGGTGCCAAATGGAACCAGGGACGAGCCTCCAAGGAATTAGGTGAGCCCACGCGAGGGCATCGTCCCGCTTGACATGGCGACGGCCGCGACCAACAGGCGTGCCGCCAAATCCGATCGCACGTCTACGTGGCCTCGCGAGCCTTTTACTGTTCTCGCCATGTGAATTCCTCGTAGTTTAACACCCCTCGCCCGCCCATAAATACTCCGGCCGAACAGCCCTCCTCGTCCACATCAACCAGTGATTAACCATGGCGCCTCGCGAGACTATTATGGCCATCTTCCTTGCGCTCTTACTTTCTTCGGGCGTGGCGAGAGCCAGGTCAGTGAGGAAAAATCTGGGTGTGAGCTTGGGGGGCGGCGTCGGGCTCGGCGTCGGCCTGGGGCTTGGCCTGGATGGTAGCACCGGCACCGGCTCCGGCTCAGCTTTTGCTTCCGGCTCAGGCGCCGGGACGGGCTACGGTGCATGGTCCGGTCCTAATGGGGATTCTTATGCTTCGTCTGGCAATGGCGTTGGGTTTGCTTCCGGTTCTGGGAACTGTGGCCACGGGTGTGGTTATGGTCAGGGCTCAGGTGCAGGGTCGTTTGCTGCCAATGGCGGCGATTCGGCCGCTGGCAGTGCCGGCATTGGGTCCTCCTATGGTGGTGGATCCAATGTTGTCGGTTCCGGTGCTGGCTCAGCTTTTGGTTCTTCTGCCGGTGGAGGATCCTTTGGTGCGCCTTCTGGTGGCTCGGCCGCTGGCGACGGAATCGGGTTTGCTTCTGGTTCAAACCGCTGTGGCTCCGGTGCGTCGTCTGCCGCAGGTGGAGGTGGATCGATCGCCGGCGGTGGCTCCACCTACGGTGGCGGATCCGATGTTGTCGTTTCCGGTAGTGGCTCAGCCGCTGATTCAACCGCCCGTGGCGGATACTACACTGCTCCGAGCAGGGGCAGAGCACGCTCCGGCCCGGACTGCGACTCGTCCTCGCCATCAGGTGGCGGCTCGCAGGCGGGCTCCAATGCTTTCTCCGGATCACAGAGTGGATCTTATGGCGCGTCGGGCGAGGGCTCGAGCTCCGGTTCTAGCTCTGCCGCCGAATCCGGTTCCAGCTCCGGCTCGACCTCAGGGACGCAGGGCTCCGGCGCATGGTCCGGTTCCGGCAGCGGCGCGAGTTCTACGTCAGGCTCGAGCTCGAGGGCAGGCTCGGGGGCCTCTGCTGAAGCGGGATCATATGCTGCTTCAGGAGCAATCTCCGGCTCCGACGGAGCTTCATACGCGGCTTCCAACGCCGGCTCTTCATCGTCGTCATCCGTCTCCGGCTCAGGGTCCAGCTCGTGGTCTGCTTCCGGTGGAGCATCAACGTCAGCTTCCAATGGCGGATCTGGCTTTGGTTTCGGTCCTTACAATCCATGGACTGGTTCCAATGGGAGATCATCCAGTGGCGCAGTAGGTCATGGATTTGGCGGTGGGTATGGCTTTGCTCAGGGTCGAGGCTACGGGGCTGCGTCTGGTTCAGGCTACGGCGAGGGGTCTGGTTATGGATCAGGGTTTGGCTCCGGGGGTGGCCGCGGTTGACGAAGACGCATCGGAGGCCTCGACCAACGCATGCATGGATGGGTTAATAAGCGTGAACATTGATATCTCTACGTTCTTTTGCTTCTGCATGTGTGGTTCTCGGTTATGTTCTTTTCCGTTTATTCTCCCTTCAATCTTCAGAAAGCTTTGCTAGAACACGTGTGATCTCGCCCAAAACATTACTAACCATAGAATGGTGAAAATGAGTGGTCGTTTCATCATAAAATATTTCATAAAATATTATTTAACATAATTAAAAAGAGAGTTATTTTTTCTTTTATCACTCTTTAAGATAATTAAAAAGGGAGTTATTTTTTCTTTTATCACTTATGTCCACATCAATATATCTCTAACTTAAACATTAAAGAATCAGATTGAAAAATATTTCTTGATCTCAATTTTTATGCAGATAATACCTTAAAGGCACATTGAATGCATACAAATGTAAATCATGTCGAACTACGAGGACCTACGAGGACGTTAATAACTTATTCCATCAAGTGGCCTCTTTAGATTTTAGTTTGAGAATAAATTCCTTATAACCGAGAGATTTCATCTTTAGATTTTAGTTTGAGAATAAATTCCTTATAACCTTATAACCGAGAGATTTCAACTATCATATCATATCTCAAGAAGCAATAACTTAGAACTGAGAGCCACCACATCATATGTTATGAGGGAATTCGAGTACATGTTACCAGTATGACCAAGACTACAGAAAGTTGAGAATGCACACAGAAGGGAAACTCACCGAAACAACCATTCAAAACTTATGATCGGATTCAACAGCTTTTTATACAGAATTGTTATCAACCAGTGTGGTATATATCCGTTGATCTTACAGAAGGAGAATCCAATCAATCTCCACTTACAATCTCCTGTGGCCCCGAATGAAGTTGGTTTTGATAAGGGAAAGTGCCGAGGAGCATGCATGTGCTCCAGCCAAGCAAAATGCAGCTGAAACTAAAAAGAAAGCCTTCCACTGCCTTCTTGATGCCAGAATGGCCATAGAAATGGAAGTAAAAGCCATAAAAACAAAGGCATTCCTCCAAACTTGGAATGATTTAACAGCACTTCTGCATTCCTTGCAATGTACTATGTGGCGGAAGTAGCGATTAATAGGGTTTGGAGCATGAATGTCTCCGGTTGCACCCTTGGCAGGCATGGAAGAAGAAATCCCAGCTGTCAGCCCAGCAGGGGCATGCTCTACAACTGCAGGGTCTTCAGCAAGTGAGCACGAGTTATGACCAAAAAAATAAGGCATGCCATGGCCTACCTTATCCTTCCACCTCCTGTACTCGGCAACCCAAGTATCGCAAGACTTGAGGTTGATGTACAACCTTCCCGTTGGTGCCTTCTCCTTCCAGAGGATTTCGTTCTGTGATGACAAGAAGCCCATGTCTTGTTCGAGGACCTTGCAAATATTCTGATGGAAGAACCAGGTTGGAAGCAATCTGACAATAGGGGACCTCAGTGTCGATCCAAACCGTATGATGACCATGGATTTGCCTTGCCCGGTAGGCCGGCATAAGAAGAGAGCCGAGACATACTGTTTGGTGCCATCCTTGTCGATGTACTCATTGCTATTTTGAAGAATGCAAGGAGCTTCAAAACTTAGGAGATTAGTCAGAGCTGGAGGCTTTGATTTGCTCCAGGATCCTGCGAAACCCCTGCCACTGCGCTTGGTCACCTCAAACAACAATGCCTGTGCATCCTCTCGTTTGGAGTAAAAATCTGTTCGATCATGTGATATAGGAACATGAGCAGGATCCATGAAGTTCTCAAGAAGTATCGAGTGATCATATGGGAGCTCATGGATTGTGGAGACATCTTGAAAGCCTGGCCTTGCATAGTGTTCAAACCAGGGGAGCTTGTTCTCATCTGGTGGGTTCTTGTCCGACATCCAAACCCATACGACTCCCTGAGAGTCTCTAGTTTCATAGGTTCTAACACAAGCAGACCGAGGAATTCGAGCCCCATCTGGTAGCTGCAGCCACAAATGAGAAGTGTTTTCTCCATGTTAATTGTAGCTCTTCGTCCTTCACGGACACATTTCTATGTCAAGGGTAAACTGATGAGAAGTTGCCATACAGTAATACAAGAAATTCACAAAATAATTGATGATAGAGTTTCAAACAAAAGGACTATATGGAGACCTGAGGTATCTTTAAGCATTTACCATCATCTCCAAATTGCCAACCGTGATACAAGCACTCTAATCTTCCATCAACGAGTTGACCTTCAGAAAGTTTAGCCAACCTGCACATCATTTGAGGACATCTAAGGACGCTTCTAAGACAATACATCCTGATGTGTCGATGAACTCCAGAATAAGAATGGAATTTACATCATCTTTTGAGGAAGATAAGCATATCATTCTTGAACATTAATGATTGACTATATCCTTCCAGATTCAACACCGATTCAGTGCTTTCTGCTGATAAATTCAAGATTGTCATAAAAATGAAAAAAGATGAGTTCTAGCCTTCTAAGTGGTCGGTTCATGGTCCTAGACAGTATATACTTACATGTCAGCCTAGAAGCTTTATGATCAAAAGCTCTAGATTTGGTTTTGTTGTACATCACAAATGTCTAGTCCAATTAGCATCATTGAAACAAACTATGCCATGGAACATGTTCACATACATTAAGAGAAGATAGATGAAGTATATCGTATTCATTTAGAAGATAGATAGAGTTTATATCTAAACTAAAGTACAGGTTTTCATTTTTTTATTCCCTTGATTTTTTAGAGTTCCTCGACTATTAAACACCAAATATATCTTTTTCATGGCAAGCTCCTTGTTCCGACTCCCCTACACCCACAGAAGAGATGCTCATTCCATCTCATCTCCAATATGATCTAAGCCATTCAAACACCACAAACTCTCTTTTTATTTTTTTTTCTTTTACAAAGGATAAGTGATGAAGATGGGATTCATCAGCTAAACTAGCTGATGCCTTCATCTCTTTTTCTTTTCTTTTACACATGAAAACTCTCGACTTCCCTTAGTGTTGTCATCTCTCACCTCTTCCTCCACAAATTATATTCTCAAGCACAAATGTGGAATTCTGCATTCTAGCATAATACTCATCTAAGTTTGGTCCCTGAATGTAAGCATTTTATACTACAATTTTAGCTTTCCTAACAGATCAGTAGGTCTTGTAGGAGCTCCATCCAAATGGATGCAGATGGCCCCTGCGAAAACCGCAAAGGAAATGCATGCTGTCCAAAGACATTGTAGAAGAGATTAAGATTCAAAAAGGGCCTCTTTCTTACACAATTCAGTTCTAGCTTGATACCTCTTCCTGCGTCAATTGTGGCTCAGATTTGTTTCTATGTTGGTTTATTTGCTGAGAGGATCGCGTTCTTAATTGAAGATTTTGTGAGCAAGAGGTTTCATGGCTATCGAATTCCAAGTTTCTAATGATCATCAAAGTACACATTTCAAGAAAGAACATAGCAATCGTACCTGTGGGGGCACCGATCTTGGAAGCACCGGATGACGCCGTTACCATCCCGAAACAGAACGATCTTCTCGTCGAACACGGTGTGGGCCAAGGGGGCGTCCTCCGGCACCTCCGCCGTCAGATACAGTGGGTACCACTCCTCCCTCCAATCGTATTCCTCCTTCACCTCCTCCTCCTCTGGACGCAGAAGCACTTCCTCAGTCGACATCGGTCCCGCCGCCACCGACCCTGTCCCGCGACGCCATCTCTGGCCGGAAGTGGCGGCACCCGGTTTCCCCTTGGTCGAAGCGACAAGGAGGGGTCGGCGAAGGAAAGCGGAGGAGACGCAAGGAGACGGCTTCTGGAGCGAAGGCAAGCAGGACGGTAGAGCCATCGGAAGCAGAAGGCGGAAAAGTGTGACGATAGATTGAGTGGGAGCATGTGGTGGTAAGCGCACGGGGCGGTGATAGTATCTCAATCGCTTCGAGTTGGGATATTGTCGGGTCTCGTCAAGTTAAGAAAGGTCGGGAGAGAGCCACGTGGCAGGAACTGACTTTGCAGGACGCAAATGAATTCGGATCTCACAATCGGATCTTCAGATAACACGAGTTCACCCGCAAGATGCAAACCAAATCGCATTCGGATCTTTAAATTGGGCCCGATCCACCTTGTATGCATAGGTATGTATGGTCACGTGCTGCTCGCATGGCCCTCCCCATTTCTAGTTTCCCCATTTATTACTGGCAGTTCTTCCTACGATCTCCTCCCCACAGCACCGCCACGACAAGGATCCGGCGATCTCCTCCGTCTCCCATTCTCCCGGATCAGCGAGATGGGTGCAGTCGAATCCGAGGCCACGGAGGTGATCGGCTCGTTCCTCTCCGATACGGCGGTAAAGGTGTTTATCGCCGGCCACCGCGGCCTCGTCGGTTCGGCCATCCACCGCAAGCTCCTCGCTCTCGGCTTCACCAACCTCCTCCTGCGCACCCACTCCGAGCTCGACCTCACCCGACAGGCCGACGTGGAGGCCTTCTTCGCCGCCGAGCGCCCCCGCTACGTCATCGTCGCCGCCGCCAAGGTCGGCGGCATCCACGCGAACTCCACCTACCCCGCCGACTTCATCTCCGTCAACCTTCAGATCCAGACTAACATCATCGACGCCGCCCTCCGCTGTGCTGGCGGCGCTGTCCGCAAGCTCCTCTTCCTCGGCTCCTCCTGCATCTACCCTAAGCTCGCCCCTCAGCCCATCCCAGAATCCGCCCTTCTTTCCGGTCCCCTCGAGCCTACCAACGAGTGGTACGCGGTCGCCAAGATTTCCGGCATCAAGATGTGCCAGGCCTACCGGATCCAGCACGGCCTCGACGCCATCTCCGCCATGCCGACCAACCTCTACGGCCCCCACGACAACTTCCACCCGGAGAACTCCCATGTCCTTCCGGCCCTGATCCGGCGCTTCCACAAGGCCAAGATCTCCGGCGCCAAGGAGGTGGTCGTCTGGGGCACGGGTTCGCCTCTGAGGGAGTTCCTCCACGTGGATGACCTCGCCGACGCGGTGGTCTTCCTAATGGACCGGTACTCGGGGTTGGAGCACGTCAATGTGGGGAGCGGGAAGGAGGTGACAATAAAGGGGCTTGCGGAGATGGTGAAGGAAGTAGTTGGGTTCGAAGGGGACCTCGTGTGGGACTCGACGAAGCCCGATGGGACGCCAAGGAAGCTGATGGACAGCTCGAAGCTGGCTGGAATGGGGTGGGAGGCGAAGATCCCGCTCCGCCAGGGGCTGGCGGATACGTACAAGTGGTATGTGGATAACGTCATCGACCATTAGCCATCAACTAGTGTTCAATTGCATTATTACTTGAATCAGTGTTGTAGTCATGACCATCAATTTGCTTCTAGGACAAGTCTATTCAACACTAAGTACTAACCTATGTGCATCGATATTATATTGATTTACTTGTTCTATAAAATAGACTTAAGCTGTTACAGTGTTGTTGTTACTTGCATGTGTTAGATCGATAAAAAAATAAATATGGAAAATTGGTGGTTGACTCTAGCGAGAATTGTATTTGCAAGAAAGTTCAGGTAAATATTCAACTTCACCAGCTGATGCTGTAGGTAACTTAAATATCTTCACTGATGCATGAATCACACATTAGGGGTGAACTTAGTTTGGCTCTTCCGTCTGCAACTTTTTTTAAACTGATCATTCTGCTATCTGATTTGCTGCTGCCTAAACCTATGACAGATTTTTATGAGTTTGCTCACATATTTTCTTCTTGTATACATGTAAACAAAAAGTGGCTCTTGGTATTTATCAAAGTATCTCTAGGAGTATTCTTATGAGGATTTTTTATGAAGGTTTTTGTGTTCAAATTGTTGTAGAGGTTTTTGATCTGTACACATTCAATCAAGCGGTTAGGTAACAGATGAATTGACGCAGCCACAGAAAAGTGTGTTCCTATTTGCTTGATGTTCATGTTTTTTCCACCACACTATTTCAATTATGCTAAGTTGATTTTCTGGAGGAGTTTGTAGACGTTTTAATCCAATGCAATAAAAGTACCTTAAGATTATACATCGAGGTAAATTAGCAGTAACATTCGTCAGGCATTGTGCTTCTCTCCTGGATTAGGACTATGTTCTCCATAAATTGCTTTACTAGGGAAATCATTTCAATTTGAGGTTTTTGTTCCAAGAAATGACATGCAATATGCTTACAGTATTTTGTGGTTTGCTTATGCCATATAGCTGAACTGTTTCGATTGTAACTAATCTTGTTGCAGTGTGATGGCCTCTTTAGTCTTCATGTGGAAGCTATGGTAGCCTCTCTTAGACTATACTCAAGAAAGTTGTCAAGGCCTTCCCATATCAATTTTCTGTTCTTCTGCTCATTGGGATGTTTCATCAGTTTATGTAGATACTAGAGGAGAAAAAGTATTATAAGTCCTAATTTATCTTCCTTTTCTCCCGTTTTATTTTCTGATTTTGGTTGATGACTCAAGGTTCATTCTACACTTAGATTATGTAGAAAAACACTCAACATTTCTGATCTCCAAGCTTTGTTGCTTGAATAACTATGTAGAAAACCTTGTGCAAACTTCGTTTCGGATCCAATAGGAGATCAAATTGTTGATCCATTTCCATCTGTTGACCTAGAATTCAAGATCAGTCTACCTTTCTTTATCTTATGCCACATAAACCAAGAACTTTTGCGAGTTTGAATTAGCCAGATTATACATATCCTGAAGACCTATGTTTATTTATATTGGGCGTAATCTTCTTAGTAATCTCATGTTTGACTTTTCTGTTCAATTGCAACGGATTTGTCTGTGGCTTGAAATTGCATGCCTTTTGGGTTGCATCTTTATATTGCCTCCAGCTGTATGTGCAAAAATAAGATATGCCTTGGGAAGCCACTTCAAGATTGTGCCATGCCTTTGTACTTTCAGCTAAACTACTATATTTTGTACCTTAATCGAAGCCCTTATGTTCTATGTCATGTGTTCACTGACTTACAGATTGTAGGCTGTGGTATCCTCTGAGAATTCAGGATCTCCACTTGCATCTCAAAGATCTTTCCTGTTGACAATTTGCACCTACTTTGCTTCTGTCTATGTGAATTTTACATGGCATTCCCTGTATAAGATATACATCTCTATTAGGAAAAGTGACTCCTCTACGACATTCTTCTTCATACCATATTATCCATCCTCACTTTTCTGACTACCTAGTAATGGATGCAAGAGCTGATTACTGGACGTACAGAATGTTGCGATAATCTTTCCTGGAGCAATCGGTTGCTGATATCAAGTTTGTGCTTTTTGTCAATTATGTTACTACATGGTGATAAATTAGCAAATTCTCCAGATATCTATATTTGGAGGATCATTTGCCCACTTGTTTGATGCACATGATGGGATAAAAATTTGATATTGGTTACTGAATTCGGAATTTTAGTAATCATTTCTAAGTAAATATAATCAGTGATCAATATGGAAATATTGAATTGTCAGATGACTTTTGCTTAGCTATTTTGTCACAAGTGCTCTTGAATTTTGATTCTTCTGTTCTTCAATGCGAATTAGACCCCAAAAAAAAAATTGCTGCTGTCATATTCCTTTATGGTATCGCCTTGATTTGAATGTCATGATTTTAACGTACTCATTTATTTTTATTAAATCTGGCTTTTTCATCAAACTATGCTGATCTTGTTGGGTAGTCAACTCATCTAGGGAGATAACAGCTTGTGTCAATCTTTATTAAGTGGCATGTTTAGATGAAGTCAATCAAGTTTCTTTTGTTTTAGATTCATCTTTTATGGCATTTTCTGATCTCACAGGTATTGGAAACTAATTCATATGCATTTTTTTTCTATACATCTACCAATGATCAATCCATTTCTGCAATTAGAATTTGGTAAATATCCAGTGAATATGGATCAGTATCTATTAGTTTGATCAGTATTTAAATTTTTCATCACAACTATGACATCCTTTCGAGTCGAACAATATTTTTTTCACAAGATATGATTTTTGTGTAACATTGGTAGAAAGGAAAGGAACTATGGAGTGTATTCTATTTTTGTTTGTTGTTTGGTGAACCTGTTTCTCCTGCCATTTTGTTTATATAATTGCAATCATTTTTTTCCAATGAAAACTCTTGACAGTTCTCATTATATATATACACACACACACACGCTTGTTTGCACCACAAAACTCACCACAGATTCTACCCATTCTATTTCTCCAACTTGGTGTCATAAATATACTCCACAAACCATCACAATATTGTAAAAGTTGTTCATCTTTTGTCAATAAGATGGTGCTTCCTAACATGAGCACTAAGAATCAACTCTAATTGTACTAATTTTAGATTGGTACCAGTTTTAGATTTTCTACTTCAAAATGGGGGCAAATTCATGGTGGGATATCTTCTTGTCTTGACCTTGTTCTTCTCCTTTATGGACAAAAATTTCAAGGATAATGAATAAAGCTAAAAAAAAAAATTTATTCCATAATGTGCATTATAAAATGGGAATTTTTTATATAGAGCTTAATGACAAAAAAAAGTGTAAATGATTCAAAAAAATGGATATTGATTTTAAATATAGTATCTTGTGATAGTTTAATAAATTTTTTTGGCTATCTAAATTAGCTAGTGTATTATTTTGAAACCTTCTATAACTAAAAATATTGATTCGTCAATCTTTTATAAGTGTATACATTACATCATTACTAAATCTATATTTTTAAGTATATATTAATATTTTTTGGTTAATATTCATTCAAATAATTTAAATTAACCTGTCTTGATTAATAATAACAATAGTTAGTTAGTTTGAGTTGCAACAGCAAAATTAAAAATACTTAATACATAAGAGTCTTATCATCATAAGAATATTAATTATAAGCTGTTAAGGTTAGTTTGAACCTCTAACTTACAATCCAAAATGTATGGTCTATGAAATTTGGACTTTACGTTACTATTCCACCCACGTTACAGCCCGCCGAAGAAGACAAGAAGGAATACGTTTTCTACTCACAAATCGTTACTCACGAGAGTACCTTCATTTTCATTTGACTGACGTATGGGTCCGTCGGTATCTTTAGATCGGACAGAGTGCCAGGTCAGGAAGTTGAAACGACGGGTCGGTACTTTATTTCCGACTTCCTTTTTTTTCTTCTCTTATTATATATCGTTCTTCCTTCAGTTAGGGTTCCGCTCGTCTCCCATTGTCGCTCGCCCGCTTTCGAGAAGAGGAGAAAGATTTGGGGTGTTAGGAGACGGGGAACGAAGGGTTTCGATCGCGATGAAGCTGACGGTGAAGACACTGAAGGGCACCCACTTCGTGATCCGGGTTCAGCCCAACGACACGGTACAATCCCGAGCCCACCGGAACATCGACTTCGTCGGTTCTTCCCTGGGACGGGCGTTCCGTAGTTTTTGGTCTTATTGTCTTTTCTGTTCCTCCTGTTTCAGATTTTGAGGGATGGAATATGTACTATCCTTTCTACCTTCATGTCCTTTTTAATCAATTTCTTTTTGCTAGGATATACTTTTCTTGATTACTATTTGATCTATTTCCTGACTTTTAATGCTAATGCGGATGTGTGTCAATCGGTAGATTTCTATATTGATTAGCAGTTGGGGTGGTTTTTCGGCCTCTCCCCAACTTCTGTTTTTTTCCTTCGTGTTGAGTGCTTATAGGACCTGAGCTTTATTGGCACATGTTGTTAAACCTCTTTGTCTGTTTTCTTAACTTATAATTATCGTATACAAACCATTGGTTAAGGATATTGAATATCCAGAGAAAATGGGGGAACATCTCTGGAGTATTAAAGTTGTTTGTGCGTGTGCTCAGTGTCCGTTAGTAGCTTATAAAAGCTCATTAGTTAATCAAATTGATGTCTTCTATATGGAAACACATAGGTTTCTCAACATCTGTGTTTTATCAGGAACTACATGCAAACATTTATTTTATTATGGTTATGGGGTTTTGCATTCTAACAATTTTATGTGCGTTCTTTGTGCAATGAATAAGATCTGCGATGGAACCCACTTTATTTTTTCTCTGTGTTTTCTTGTTGAGCTATCAACTGGTCACTGATTGTTGGATGATCTGAAAAAAGAAAAGGATAAAAATAACTCTTAGTTAAGACTGTTGGGAGAAACTGTTGATATAGACCTTACACATCAATTAACATGTAATGTTTGTTGAGGATGATTAGTTCTTTTAGCTGTTCGGTGCTATTGTTGTATAACAGTTTGCTGATGAACATTTTCCTTTATGTACCAGATTATTGCTGTGAAGAAAAACATTGAGCAAGAACAAGGAAAAGACAGCTATCCGTGGGGGCAACAATTGCTGATTCATAATGGAAAAGTTTTAAAAGATGAAACCACATTGGAAGAGAACAAAGTTAATGAAGATGGTTTCCTTGTAGTCATGCTTAGCAAGGTATATATGTTACAGGCAATATTTGAATTCAATAAATAGTTTTCTATTGTTTAGCTTGCAATAGCAATCCAAAATTAGTTTGGCTGTTATGTTGTAACTAGAAATTTTACAGATTTAACCTTGTATTAAACCAAAATGTACTTGTATTGTGAGGGTAGCATGTTACTAGCAAATTCCAAACGAAGTGAGAAACTTGAAAAATGTTGTTCTAGATTTCATTCAGTAGAATATCTATACAAGCATTCTTGCCACTTGCTATTTGCTGAAAGAAAGGTTTCAAGATTGGTAACCATATAATACTTAGCTTACACAATATTTTCTCCTTGTCTGTTTTGTCATTGGTTGTTTCACGATCAGTACATGTACCTCTGTATATATCTTATAGTGAGCTTGCAATGCCGGATATGTGCATATTGTAAACTTATGGTTTTCAAATTTGTTTTCCACATTAATTTCCTGGGTCAGTTTACCATGAGTATTGCTGTTGGATGTACATGGGGTTGCTTCCATCTTCTCTGAAAACATCAAACATCAGATGGCATGATTTCTAATCACAATACAACTATGCAGGTCATTGTTATGTCTGTCAATTAGTAGAAGTTCCTGTAACAAGTGTAACTATCTGCGCTGTGACATTCATAGTCTGTTTTTATTTCTTGTGGTAACAAAAGTCTTCTTTTAAAGTGGGTTACTGCCAACTGGTAATATTTCTTCATGTGATTCAGAATTATGTGAATTGCTTCATAAAAAAATTCTTTGTTTTCGCATAGAGTCATTCTGTAATTTTGATATGCAAGTCAAGATCAAGCGAATATTTGATAACTTACACTTCTCAGATATATTCCAAGGCACAGTTACTAAACATTTTATCTCTCTAGATGTTCTGTTTGTTGTACAGATGTTTCAGTTTATAGTTATGAAATTGATTGGAGATCTAAGACATGGCAGAGAGTTACTATAGGAATTGGTTTTATGGACAAGAATAAACAAAACTTTTCACCTTTTCATTCATTTACACTTAGTAAACCCATGGGGTAAGTCCTATAAATTTTCGGATTTTACAGAAAAATGAGTATTATATGTCACATAAAATTTGACTAATTTTCAAGATCCAGTTAAATATGTAAAATAGTTTATTACATTAAAATGCACATTATTTTCTTCTACATTTTTGTGAACAATGTGTTTGAATGACATGTTATAGGCTCATTTTTCTTGCTCTTCTTAACGACTTATCTATTTAAAGTTGGAGATTTTTTATATTTTACTGTATTATAGTTGCAATTCTTCTTATTCTTCCTGCTGTAATTCCTCTCTTTTTCTTTTTTTGTCTTTAATAACTTTCTTACTTCAGATTGGCTATTAAGTATACATTCCATCTCTCAACAAGTGGTTTAATTTTGTTGTCATCATGCCTTGTATTTGGCATACTAGTACTATTTTTTGGACTTGCTGCATTTATGTTTCTTTTTTGTTGCATTTAATGCACTTAATTGCTTCATTATTTTTCAGAGTAAAGCTGCAGGCTCCAGTGGGTCTTCATCTGCACAGGTAGTACTTGTATTACATACATTTTTTGTTCCTGAAAGAATTAGCACATAGTCTTTTCTGACCAAGTTTTTGTATTTAGCCTCCAACAACTTCTGCAGTCCAGCATCCTGCTCCCAAGGAACCTCCAGCTCAAGTTCCAGTGCAAGTTCCAGCTCAAGTTTCAGCACAAACTCCATCGCAAGTTCCTGCACAAGTTCCACCTCGAATTTCAGCAGAAGCTCCATCACAAATTCTGTAAGTCCACTGTGTGACACCTTTTCCCCTTCTTAAGAATATGTCCCACAACATTGGTGTATCATCTGTGTCGGTCCGAGTTTCTTCTTGTTCCAGGGCCACAATTAGTTTTCTTCAACTGGTTCTTAAGGATCCAACTTGGAGTTTGAGTTCTGTATACAATTAGTATTTGCTTGTCATTCTATAATGTATACATAGCACATTAATTCAAATTCATTAGTATGACTTTAGAGTTTGTTTGTGTTTGACTTTTTTTTTTACCACTCATTGTCAAAGTGCAGTTCCAGGAAAGGCATAAGTCTCTTTGAGTTTATTAATTATTGTGCTTTCTTTAAGGAGCCTTTGTAGATGAAATATCCTTTCGAAGTGTTATCCGCCAACTCATTATGGTTAATTAGTTAACCTTAAAGGAAAGGCTAGCTCATGTTTTGACGACACATTAAATGATGATGGCTTCTTAAATTGCTTGGCCTCTTGGCTTGCAAAGTACATGTTCTTTTTTTCAAGGAGACAAAGGTTTTCCATTTAATGTTAGTGAAGGCTAAAATGCTTGCTCTGATGCATTTCAATTATGTTATGAGCAACTTCTGCATCTTCTAATAGTATAGTCTTACCAATTTGTAATGTCTTCAGCCTTTGCATCTGTTGTCTCCACCATCTAGTTGTCATTTAATGAATCAACCAACTAGTGGTCAACCAGTAGGGTCATAGATCTTGTTCTTTACCTTAAAAAAAGGATCATGACAATTTTTGCAGCCTCTTATATTCCTTAGTTTGAGTCAAAATCTTTTTGGAGCATGATCTGTGAAAATACTTAAGTTGTATTTAAGACATGAACGCATGATACATACCAACATGAATTCATAAAAAAAGTTTTGTTGAGGTTTATAGTATGCCTTCATCATTAATTTTTCTTAAGAAGCTGTCATGAAATTTACCATTAATGCCATGTTAAGGTATATCCTCCATGATGTGAATGACCACAATTCAAGTCATGGGAGCCTCTCTACTTGCAGGGGTGAGTTTATGTCGTTTGACCTTCTTACCCACATTTGTGGGAGCCATATTTACTCAGCCATCCTTTTTAGATGTTAAAGTGTATTGACAGTTTTATGTCAATGCATGCTTGAAATCCAGAAAACATACTTAAGCTTGAACTCAAGAACTGCCCAGTATTTCTATTAATTCATAGTTTACTTTTGGTATCTTTGCTTCTTTCTCTTTATATTATTTATATGTGATGGTTTATGAGCTACTTCTCAAACTTAAAGGAAGGTCGTATTTCTTGATGCAAATAAATAGATAAGGTTGACCTTAAATTCTGCTAAATTTAGATGCATCCCAACTAGAAGAAATAATTTGATATCTAACCCTTTGATCACGAAATGTGAAGTGTTATGCCAATTGGATGGGTTCTTGTCAGGAACAGGAGAAAAAAGAACAAACAAGTGAAATAACTTCATTGTAGCATGTGAGTACCAGAAAGATCTGTTTTTGTCCAGGAGGTCAAACATCTAGACATCACAATATGAACAACGATCTCAATTGCAACATGACCTAAAAAAGAGATGTCTTCTTTTATTGCCTATGGTTGTAAGGTCTGCGCTAGCAAGGCTAATGGTGCAGTCCTACATGTGCAAATATGGTCTCAAGAAAAGCAAAACCAACATGGAGGACACCATTAGAGAGAGAGAATCCTACTAGCCTTAAAATAATTGATCAAATTTCTTAATGGTAAAAGTTAAGCCAGGTCATTGGAGTAGCAAAGCTAATGTGTGGGAGGTAATCATTGGGATAGTGCAATGAGAGGATTCTTAGCCTTAGAACGAGTGATCAAATTTTGAACTGACATATCCATTAGAATTGCAAGTGTAAATATCATCTTCTATCTTTCTGTCCACATTCTGTTTTGTGTATTTTTTGGCCAGGACCTATATATTATGTGTAAAAATTAGTGGTAGGTATTATGTGCTCGATGCTCTGAAATGCAGTCTGGTGGCCATGTACATGTGGTTGTATGACCATTCCATAAGTTTGTTTGGCCTCAGTATGCAGTGGTGTTGCATACATGAAATCTATCCTACATAATTGTTCCACCCTTTCCTGAAAATATGATCATATACATGTGTTATATATTCTTCTCAACAATATTGCTTTAACGGTGGTTACTATTATCTTGGTGCTGTCATGTATGGTCTCTGAATATGGCATTCATTATTTAAACCTTTTTGTTTTTGAATTATCGCCTAAAATAAGTTTTAAATTAATGTTATTCTATAAGTTTAAGTTAGAACCTAAATTACAATAATGATATTTTATAATCTTTTTAGGTGGATGTGACATATATTTTGCTATTAATAACTTAGGCTTGTTGTCGATCGAGACATGCCAAAACATACTGCACTAGAAAGGTATAGGAGCATTCCATGTTGACTCATGCCAATGATCTTGATGTATGGCTAAATTAAATTTTGATGGCTGACACTATTCCATATCAAAGAAATATCAGCTTAGGCCTTTGTGCCATGAAACAACTATCATTGCTTAATTATGTACTAATTTTGTTGAACTGCATCTGCTTTTAAATACCACAAGTAAGCCAACACTGTTGATTGCCTTCATCCATGCTTTTAAGACTTTGGTTTGTTCTTTTGGTGCATCAATTATGATTTATGCAATACCCAAAAATGACAATTATGGCAATTGATGTTAGTAGAAACAATCACGCAACTTGGTGTGTTTCTCAAAAAATTATTGAGATAACTGAGACTTTTATGCACTAAGATAACCCTAACTTTTACCTGAACTTTCTTGGAATCTGGCACTATCTTGGGAGTTTGGTCATCAATTTGATAACCAATTCTAAATGAGTCCAAAACGTAAGTTGAACATGATGGATGCATATTTCTAGGTTTGGATGAAGATGTTAGTTAGTGGCCAACTAATTGGGAACACCCTTGTATGATGTTTCGTTTTTTACTATAGTGAGTTACAAAGCTTTCTTGCAATGTGATGCTGTATAAACAGCTTATTTGCATATATATTAGACTACGAGCTCAAAGCAAGCTACTTTTGGCTGGTCCTTTAATTTATATTAGCAGACTTCTATCATCTATTTTGAAATGGAAATCTTGTTTTTAAACTTTTATGGTTCAGTAAAAGCAGAAATTTTCATGTAAATTTCCCTTCCATGATTCTTGAACATCTAGTCATCTACAAAGCCTTTATTTGCAGTAACATCTGCTGAGAACTCTGTTCCACTTGGAAAAGTAACTAGGAGTCATGTTTTTCAGGGCATCTGCTGACGCCTATGGTCAAGCTGCATCTAATTTAATTGAGGGGAGTAATCTTGAGCAGATGGTTGGTCAATTGATGGAGATGGGTGGTGGTAACTGGGATAGAGAGACAGTTTTGCTTGCACTTCGTGTTGCTTACAACAACCCAGAGCGTGCTGTGGAATACTTGTATTCTGTAGGCAGTTGATATATCCTCAACAGTAAAACTGGCAAAAAAGGAAAAAACTATGATATCATTGACAGTTTTTATATTTTTACATCAGGGTATCCCAGCAACAGCAGAAATTGCAGTTCCAGTTGATCCTTTCCCTTCATCTCAGGCATTTGCTCAAGGGGCTGATTCAACTGATTTAGCTGCTCCAGGTCATCCCTCTGGTGCACCAAATTCCTCTCCTTTGAATATGTTTCCACAGGTTCAGCATTACACCTCAGTATGGTTGTTATTGTTTGTTTTATGTGGCACTTAAAAACCCACTGTTTAACTCTAACAGGGCAATATTAATACTGGAGTGGGTACTGGTGGTGGATCTCTCGACTTCCTGAGAAATAACCAACAGGTATGTTAATCTGAAGTCTGAAAGATATTTCAGTCCTTTTTCACATGTCTAATCCTCCTTTATACTAATTGCTATTTTTCAGTTATGTTTGATAGTGGGTTTTAACTTTCAAAAGGAACTTGCTAGCCTAGCTGTGGAAGGAAATATTATCACATGCTCTGGAGCACAAAACATTATGACATTTTGAAAGTTTCCGAAGTGTACTAGATTTCAGGTTGTCCTTGTAAATTGCAATTTTGCAGGTAGTGTTTTTCCAATTTAAATTGTCCAGGGAAAAATGCTAAGTACAAATTGAACTGCTATGTTCCAGTTTAAGCAGTAATTTTATTTAGGAAACAAATTGTAGTATTAGCATGTCATGTTGAACGATGGTAAAAATGAATCTAATTATCTTTGATCTGAATGATACTCTTCATTAGATATTTCCAATCGGGAAATTGAGTCAGTTTAATTAAACCCTAATATTTTTAAATTTACTGTACCTACCACAACCATCACTAGTGATTCTGCAGTAATAAGCTGTTGTTTCTGATGATTACAATTATCCATATGGCAAGCCACACTATATGATTTGGTTACCTCTATTGTTGATTTTTTATCTTTGATTCTCATGACTGTAATCACTATATTCTTTATTTTTGCAAGGGTTGAATTGCTGACTTCTATATCTGTAGTTTTTCTTTCTTTAGTCAGAAAAGTTCTGAATCAATTAGAACTGACTCACTATTAATGCAATGCATGTTAGTTCTGCTGCAAACTGGAAGAATTACATGTTGTAAAATTCAGCATAATAAGACCATGTTAGCTATCAGTTAGGTGATAAAACCAACTCAATGAAGCTGCACATGTACCTATAAATGATTGGACATAATTACTGGATCAAAAGGAGCTTTGCCGGTGGATTAAACTCGGAACTTATAAAGCTCTAGATGGTTTAGAGTTTTCAAATCACCATTTTAAGACGTCTAACTGTTATTGTAGTTCTTAGCTCTGCGGGCAATGGTTCAAGCAAATCCACAGATTTTACAGGTCAGTACTCTCTCATCTGAGGTTAAATTTGCGTAAAAAATGTAACGTCTTTTAAAACCATTGCTTTCTTGCAGCCAATGCTTCAGGAACTAAGCAAGCAAAATCCTCAACTTTTAAGATTGATACAAGAGCATCATGCAGAGTTTCTTCAGTTAATAAATGAACCTATTGAAGGGTTTGAAGGGTGAGTTATTATAATGCAAACTATGATTATTGAAGTGCTTTGTTTTTAATACCCTAAATTTCTATCTGATAGATATCTGGCTATGGTGCTAAACAGCACTACAAGTCTCTGTTAATAATGCAAACTATGATTATTGAAGTGCTTTGTTTTTAATACCCTAAATTTCTATCTGATAGATATCTGGCGATTGGTGCTAAACAGCACTACAAGTCTCTGTTGTGTCGTTTGAGGCATCAGCTAATTCCAGAGTCTACTGGATATATGAGCTGCCACTAGTTATTTTAAACTTTTAGTTGTATTGTCATGCTCTGTGTAACAACCTTTTTTTCTTGTCTCATCTGTCATATTATTGTTGTTCCATATCCTCTTTGAGTAACACATAATGAGTTCAGTGGCCTGCTTGCTCTAAGATTATAGAGAGGCTTCATCCACCCTTCTTTCTACCATCTTTTCCTACCTTTTTCTATTTATTCTTGAATTCTAGTTTGTAGTTTTGTATCTGATGAGAAGGATCATGTAGAAGATTGGGGTGATGAATGGATTTTGCCTAAGTGGATTAGAATGGATTGGTGAAAACATGGAAGAAGCCTGCAGTAATGGAATGGGGGTGAAATAGGGGAAATGTGAATGTGGGATAAGCAAGGTCATTAGTTGTGATGGAGGTGGAGATCATGATTGTGTTGGAGGGGAGTAGCTGTTCTATGAAGGCAATGGTCATGGAGTGTGCCTCTAGTGGATGTTGAGATTGTGTCTTAACTGTGTTGGGTTCCTTTTCTTGGTGGTGATGGTGGTTTTGCTGTTGGTTGAGATGCAGGTGATCTGGTGCCTGGCAAAACGAAATAGGGAGACTGAGTTGGAAGATGAATATGAGGATGATTTGGAGGTAAAAAGAAGACCTGATGTATCTGTTGTTAGGTAAAATTTGAGGCATCTATATTATTCCCCTCCTAAGAGGCGGAAGTATTTTTTGCAAAATGGTTAGATAATACTTTATACAGCTGTATGTAGAGTAGATATTGTTTAAAATTAGACTTCCCCTTTTTCATCTGTAGGAACTCGGTAAATTAGAGTATGCTGCTTTCCTCAAGCCCTTTGATGAAGATGGTTTTACGTTGTCTGATTAGGGTGCTTCTATCCAATGACCCTATGCTAAGGCACCCTATGAAGATGGTTTTACTTTGCTAAGGCACCCTATGATTAGGGTGCTTCTATCCAATGACCCTTTGCTAAGGCACCCTATGATTAGGGTGCTTCTATCCAATGACCCTATCCAATGACCCTTTGCTAAGGCACCCTAGGATTAGGGTGCTTTCCTCAAGCCCTATGCTTCTATCCAATGACCCTATGAAGATGGTTTTACTTTGCTAAGGCACCCTATGATTAGGGTGCTTCTATCCAATGACCCTATGGTTTTACTTTGTCTGATTATCATAGTTGTTGTGATGTATTTGCTAAGGCACTCTTATGCTTAATACATTGGGGTGGACATGAGGTTTGGGGGAATGTTATAGTTGAGTGTAATGACCCTATGGTACTTGGAAATTACAGCAAATTCTAAACTCAATTGAGGTTGGGAAGTCCGAGCCAATCAAGTACACAAAAGAAAAGAATGTATATTGAATAACTTATTGAGACTAGCAAATATTTAAGTATTAGTCTGCTTGCAACTGTTTGCTTCACAATATTAATGAAACAATTCTATGTATTGCTAATCCACTTGTCATGAGGATTTGACTCCTTAGCCATGTTTGTAACCATCTTTGCATCTGCATATTTTTGTAGCTTTCTTTGTTAAAGTCTTATTCTGTCCAGAATGTTGCAATTTGTGGAACCCACTGCAGGATTATCGACTTGTTCTTGTATATGTTTTTCTGATTCTCAAATTCATCCCTCATGTCATAAAGTCCCAAATGTTTACGTATTTAAAATTTTCAGGGACATGTTTGATCAGGCTGATCAAGATGAGATGCCGCATACCATAAATGTGACAGCTGAGGAACAGGAGGCAATCCGAAGAGTATGTTGTTTTGTCCTCTTTAATCTCTACACGCACTGTTATGTTATGGTCTTTTAATCTCCTCCAACCACATTGTTCAGCTTGAAGCAATGGGATTTGACCGAGCACGCGTTATCGAAGCATTCCTAGCTTGCGACAAGAATGAGCAGTTGGCAGCAAACTATTTATTGGAACATGCTGGTGATGAAGATTGAAGGTACTTTGCTAATTTTACTTACACACAGCTTTCATTAAGCATGATCAACTTAGTAACTCTTTTCACTGCTATCAAAAGTAGAATGCTCCATGAATCATCCAGATCCTGATATATATCTTAAGTGAAAAATAATTTTATGTCAGTGTCAGTGTTTCTGGACAATAACAGACATTCTATGCTTGACATGCTTCACGTCTATTTCAGCAATATCTATAATATCTCTTTAATCAGTTGTTTGTTCACTATTGCTTACAAGTAACTGATTGCATTATGCTTAGGGATTTGGCATATGCCAACATTTTATCTCTTGAATGCCACATGGATCTCTGTTGAAACCAAGACACCTGAATGATGGGAAGGTCTTTCACGCTTCTCTGATCACCTAATTGAACCTATTTCAAGGGTTAATGACTTGATACCGAACTTACCGTTTGAGAGAACTGTACTTTGAATGGAGAGAGAGAGAGAGAGAGGCTGTAGTGGCGAACTCAGAGGGGGCACTTCTATTTATTAAATTCGTTCTGAACATTTAATCTTTGGTGATAAAAATTCAACAATATCTTTTCTTCCATACGAGTTACATTCTTCATGTCCATTTTGTCGCTTGTTTCATCTTGGCCTATTCCCCGTCATATGGTTGAACTAAATTGAAAATTTTTTGAGCTGCGTGTGTTGTGAACAGCAAACCCGTCAACGTCAGCCAAAATGGCGGCACAGCTAAGTTTATTGCTGCTGTCTCCTCGATGGGTTTGATGCAGACTCGACACCCCTGATGTAAAAGGTCGATGGTGAAGTAGGCTTTGTTTAATCGGGATGGTGACGGTGAGATTCGTGCTCATCGTGGTCAAGCTTATTTAATTCTAATTACCTGCAACGGCTTTAGAACAGGGCAAGACTACCTGCCCTGATGCCCCAAAACGGCTGTGCCTCTCTCTCTCTCTCTCTCTCTCTCTCTCTCTAATGCAGCATCCATCTGGTGCGTTGGATGTTTTGCTTCCTCACCTCCTGGTACGCAGCGGAGACTGACTTGCCACTTTTTTTCAGTTGTTCGACTCAGATGGTTTGGTGTTAGGAATTGCTATAACGTATTAATTTTAGAATCAATGTGAGGGGTAGTTATGCGAAATAGCTAGTCATTACCCATACGTCAAATCATCGGATATTGTGGTTACAAGGGATTTTATACGAACTAAATTAATCTTCTTGGGGATATGATTAGACTGTAACCTTTTGATATATTTTAAAAGGTTCCTTAAGGATTCTTTGAGATATGAAATTAAGTACCACTTCTATTCAGGTTTATAAGTTCATATAGTCGTAACCCAGTTTCAATAGAACATAATGAGTATTGACAATGAATTAGGAGGCTCGTTTAGCCTTCAAATGATTTTGTTTTAAGCTGAAAATTAATATATATTTAATTTTATATGTCTCCTAATTTCATACAAAATTCATAATAATTCAAGATCATTTGATAAGCTAAAATAGTAAAATAAAATTTCTTTATAGAATTGTCCGATGACTTAAGTGATAATAACTAGTTCATTTGATTATAAAATAAATTATTAAAAAAATTATTAGTGGAATCTAGATGAATTTCTAGGTTAAGTATATTTCATTTATTAAGAGATTTTATCAAAAAAAATTATGAATTATTATAAATCTATAATTCAAGAGATAGGGTTTTTAATTAAGGCATCTCATAACCCTCTCAATTTGATAAATGTGTTACTCCTTAATACACTTGATCATTAAGGGATATGATCTTTCATTGACATTTTTATTTTTGAGTTCAATTGAGTATAAGTTTAATTCATTGTAAAATAATGATCATATAAATAATCGTATTCATTATGTATTTTGGAAAGCATCTTTTGAATAATATGATTATCATAAGCTAAATATAAATAAATATATATTATAAACAGAAAAAATATAAATTATGATAAAAATATCTTGCATGCATGTATATATGATGATGTGCAATGTGATAATATACGAATATATTATAACATGCAATGCACATATATATTATGACATGCAATATAATAGTGCATGTATATATTATGATGTAAGGTGTGAGAGTGCATGTATATTTATAATGTGCGGTGTAGGAGTATACATATATATTATGATATGCGATGTGGGAGTACATGTATATATTATAATGTGCAATATAACAGTGCACGTATATATTATGATATGCAACGTAAGAGTGCACATATATATTATGATGTATTGTGTAGGAGTGATCGTATATATTATGATAACGTATGGTGTGAAAGTGCATATATATATATATATATATATATATATATATATATATATATATATATATATATATATATATATATATATATATATATATATATATATATATATATA